TACTATAGATCCTTGTACTTTAAGCTGGTCTCAATGTTTCTGAACAATTCTTCATTATGAACTGAGTAGTTTCATAGTGTAATATCTAATTGTACCTTATAGAACAATGTTCTATGTGAATTACTTTGATTGTACTCATTACTGACTGTTTCTTCAATCCTGAAGATAGAAATGTGTGTTCTAATGTCAACTAACATAGTTCCTTTATAGTACTCAATACTAATCCTGTATCTCTTCCTGTACTGAATAGAATTGACTGTGTATACATATGTCTGTGTCTTTCTATTACTGTCAATGTATCTCCATGCCTAATACTTATTCTGAAGTAGTATTATTGTATTCTTAATGTATATACACTTTTCCTTACTCAATGTACTGATTTCTGTCTTTCAATACATAATGTAGCCTTCTAACTTAATAGAATACCTGTGTGAATTGTCTAGATTGAAATATTTCTTAGTATCTGAGAGTAGTTATAGTTTATAGTCTAGTAATACTTGATAGATTGTCCTGCTTGTACAGTTTACTATTTGTATTGTCTTGTAAACTATAATACTATCTGACTGGTTATATTCCAATCTTCTAACATTCTCAGGTCCTTTCCTAATGTCCTAGTATGTATTCCTGTTGTCTGTAAACATCCTGTATTTCTTAAGAGTGTTGTTTTGATTTGTGGCTCTAAGAATTAGTAGTAGTGTCTCTAAAGTGTCTATGTATGTATTGCCTTACACTTATAGCATCTTAGATTCCTTGAAACAATAGTTGTATACATGTTTCCTAGTCCTTTCTATGTGCCATACGTATCTATAGTCTTGTAGAATCCTTTCTACACTGTATGCCTATACTTTCAAGCATAAAATGTTATTGTATGCTTTATACAGTTGTCTGTACCTTAATGTAGCTATCTGGTACTGTTTCATATAGTTCTGCTTGTTTGCTATACTATTCCTTAGTCCTGTAGTCCTATAGAGTCTTGAATATACTGAATTTGCCCTTTCAAATGTGTTGTTTACATGCCTGAACTTGTGTTCTGTTGTAGAACTCTCTTGTTCTATTACTAAATCCTTAGTATTACCTTTACAAAGTATCCAAATCAATAAAACATGTATATTTCTGCTAGATATGTAAGAATCTGTGTCATAGTCTGTAATCAACTCTAATTCTATGTAGTTCTTACTGTCCAAGTTGTCTACTAACTTATCTAAAGTAGTGTAACTAATACTGACATTACTAGATGATAAACAATCATTCTGTACATTGTTCAATCTGATTGTATTATGAGTAGGACAATTCCTAGCTAAGTGGTCATCTTGTTCACAAATAAAACATAGTTGTTTCACTCTCATTTCATCCAATTTCGATTGGGAATAATACTTAAAACCTGTAGCATATGTTCTGTAATTGTTTCCTGTCTTACTTTTATGCTAGTCATTGTTCCTTAATGGATAATACAATTGCCTGGCCTTTCCTTTAGCATTTACACTGCTTGTATGTGTAGTATCCTGACTAGAGTCACTGTGGTCTGAATCATTGCTTTCACTATCCTATAGAGTGAATTGATTGTTTCCTGAATTATTAGAACTGTCTATATGCAAATAATCACTCTGAGAATCATTACTATGTCCTTACAGATAGAATTAATGTCTAGAATCTATATACTATTTGATTCCTATGGATTCATTTACTTTCTCAATACTTTCAAGCCTATCCTTGAAGATTGAATAATTTACAGTGTCTGGATTTAAGCAATCTAATTGTAATTGCCTCTGATACTTGGAATTCAATCCATACTATGTCTGTCTAGTCAAATCTTACTGAGAAATGTCTCCTAAACTTGTTGCTTTTATCTCTAGGTCATACAAATAATCCTGAATGTTCCTATTACCTTGTTTTAAAGTATTGAACTCTTTCCACAGTATTTCAGCAAAGTTGGAAGGGAAACAAAAGTCCATAAGTCCTTTAAAGAACTGAGCAAGTGTTTATCTATACTCATAGTTTGTAATCTTTTGTAAATAGAAATTCATTACTTTTCCCTTAATAAAACCTAGCATTATCCCTACTTGGCTCTTAGGGAAATGATAAAGTCCTGATTGTTTTATATACTAATTGACTTTAATAACAAACTTTGTGTACTTCTACAAGTCTAGTTCACCTGAGTATACTGTAGGAGCTATTAGTTCTGTACTACACATCTGTATCTTCAATTTGAGGAGTTCTTTGTTCTGTTTCTTTCTCAAGTGTTTCTTACACTTCTTAGTAGCTTCAGTATCACTCGAATCAATGTCTGATAGTTCAAATAAAGCATTACTTTGATTATTATTATTATATGAAGAGGAATCTGAATTATCACTATTTGGGTCTGATCCTAAGTCAAAATTTCCCTTTCTCTGTATTCTAGAACTCTGTATCACTCTGTATACATAGCTATTCTTTGTTAGGCTCTCTGAAGGTCTTACTGATACAAATATACCTTTCTAAACATTATTCAATACTTTGCTATGCTTGTGTCCATTGTTTGTCCTTGAACTACTGTTTGAGCTATTCTTATACTTGCTACACTCAATATGTAGCTTTGAACTGTGTAGTTTGTTACACTCTGAATCAATATTGTTCTCACTAATACTACTAGTGTATGCCTTGCCTAGGACTGCTTTCAATTGTAAAGTATTGCTATAGGATTGTTTGTTCCTTTTATTTTTGTGAGGGATACTCTAATGTCCTGAAAAACTTAATGTTTCTATTTAAGACCATATATATTCAGGTATTTTACTTTCTCTTTTATTCCTAGACCTGGCTAGGGTGTTGTATCCATTATAGTAGTCCTGTACATTGCTCCTGTGTAATGTGTAGTCAATATCTACTATGTATGAGGTTAAACACTCAATTTTGTAGGTGTATACTTGATTTTCACTCTCTAGATCAAGTACTAATCCTTATAGTTCCAATTTGTATTCACTTTTGCTATCCTCAAAGTACTGTTCTGTCAATACAATGTCTGTTTTGCTTGAATAGTCTGAATCAATTTTACAATTGTATTAAATGCTTAACAGTTCCAGTTTTTGTTCTGTTCCTTGTACTTTGTGTTTTCCTTTTACTTTACACTTTCCTTTTGCTTTCTGTGAATGCAATTGTTTGTCTAGACTCTTGAGTGTTTCTTCTACACTCTTAGATTGATAGTTATGATCTCTATTGTCTGTAGGTACTGTAGCATGTCTGGCTTTTGTTCTATAGCCTACCTGAAGTGTTTCACACTTTTCTGTTACTATACTATTAAGTCTACTCTTGTTTGATGAAGGAGTTGCTTTCTCCTCTTCCTAATACATTCTATTGTACTTGTATGTTCTCTTATTCAAATCATTAATGTCTATTGAACTGTAGAATAGGCTGACATGTTCTATGTCTATCTTAATTGCTCTAGCTCTTGTAATGTGTCTAAAGGTCTTACTTACCTTCTGAAAGTCTTGTTCCTTATCAAATCTCTGTAGTTTCAATGTCTGACTCTTCTAACCTTTGTTACTCTTGTGTTCTGAGTCCTGACTACTTTCTTTACTGTCTAAAAGGGTCTTAAGTGTCTTACTACCCTCTACATTACTGTTGTTAATGTGTTTCCATTCTAAAGTAAGTACACTCACTAGATACTTATTCACACTCTCACTGATACTAACTATATACACTCTGTAACTCTTATACTAGCTTGCAAATTCCTTAATGCTTACTGTTAGCTCTTTATATTGACTTAGTGAATCCTTGAACCAAATTGCCTGTCCTCTATCAAGTGAATCCTCAAACTTGGTAGTCCAATGTGGCTGCTGAGTCTTGACAAACGATTCCCAGAGAGTACCCAAGTCCAGACATTAATACTAACATGCTAGGAAGTAAGTCCTTGTCTCTCATAGGTTGGAGGCAACCAGATGAACTTATTCCAGGTAATAAGTCCTTGTCTACACAAGGCTAGAGGCACCCTAATAAACTACTACATACTAATAATGTAGAATTAAGGTATGTAACTGTACTAGCACATATAGTTAGACAAACACACACTGTAGAGCAGACACTAGCAAGTATTAACACTACTAGGCTTAAAGAAATAACAAATAGCAGTACAGAGAGTAGAAATGCTCAGACAATTGGATTCAAGGATTTGTCCAATCAAGTACAAAAGGTCAGGTTTGAGGATTCAACTTACTAAGTACAGGCAATTAAGCTTGAGGATTTACTCAATCAATTTCATAATCAATAACTAATGGATAATCTTGTTGTTCATTGTCTGTAAACTTGATACACACCTATTTGTTCCTTTTTGCTGTCACAGATGCCTGGTCCTTGACCCATCCAATCAATGTAAACCTCTAGCATATCCAGCACTAGTCTATATTAATATGTGTTAATGTGTTCTAGAAGTGTTTCACAGTATTCTGAAGCATTGTGAACCTACTAGAGGCTAATCCAGTAAGTAGTCTCTGTTTCTACTCGAAAATCATAACTTTACTCACAAAAACTTTCTGATGGGTACTAGACAACAAGGGAGACCTAGGGTTAATCAGACCCTTCAGTTCCTCAGTGTCTAGCAAGAGGTTTTGGTGCTAGGTGGGTACAGTCAAAAATATGTAAGGAAACTCACTGTTCCTCACAAGAGAATTCTAATCACCCTTAGTTTACTCAACTACTGACTGGGATAACCTAGTACTCGAGCAAGGGGTCAGGGGAAAAGAATCCCCTTTACCCAGCAATCAATACTGTCTTTTATAGGGTAGTACACGTGTAGATACATGAGGAGGAAGTGTAACTAACTACAATGAGAATATATGTGCTTGTGGGTCCTACTGTGCAATGATCTGACACAATCAGCAATGTAGTGATAATAAAATACGAACCAGTAAACCAAATCCTTACAACAAGCAACCGTGTCATACATATAAAAATACAGAAGTCAGACGCATTGTGACCGAACCCAACTTCACTGTCTACGAAGGCGGGCACCCGGCCATCCTCGTGCCAAAATGACCGACTGGCCTCCCATTCTGAAGCGGCTACCTAATTTGAACGTCCTTGAATTGCAATCTGGTCTCGTGTCGAAGGTCTATGGCGCATGGACACAACCCAACCTTAGCCTGACAACATTGGTACCTAGAAGGCCTCACGCCATAGTTGGTGAACCAGTGCAATCTGGTGCTTTCGGTGCCGTATATGTACGATGAGTATATCACTCTCTCCAGTTTATCCAAGCTCATGTACAGTCATGCCTTGCGATCACCACGACACTAAAAACTCAACTTCAACTTCAACGTCGCTAGAGAGTGGGGTACGATAAACTCAGAAACGAAGTAGAGGAGTCCCAAGGTCACAAGAGCGAGATCAACACAGAGTTTGCAGCTAAGGTGGTCTGGAAAAACAGGAGTATAGATGGAGAAATGATGGATCAAGATCAAAAAGACGACATGAAAGTGAAAGTGCTGCAGGAAGCTAAGAACTTGATGGAAATGAGCCGCGAGCATAGGCATATCGTGCGCCTCAAAATTTTTATTTCCTGCTACGAATAAGAATAATACTTTGTTTGCAGTTGACCTGCTATGGTGTGTCTGAGAATAATGAATATTGGGTTCTTGTAACAGAATACGCTCAGCTGGGGGATCTCTATGACTATTATGACTGCCGGAATGACCCTGCACATCGCAGTCATCTCTTTGGTAGTCTTATGCCTCAACATTTCAGGTATGGTTGAGCCTTGTCAGACAAACGGGGATGAGTAGATGACCAGACTTTTCATATAGGCAGGTATCTAAAGCAATTGCATTTCTGCACCATAAAGGATTTATACATCGAGACATCAAGTAAGTGGAATAATTAATCCAATGCAAGCCATGCAGTGCAGCTGATCATCCTCTTTAGATTAGAAAACTTTTTCTTATGTCTTAGGGGCAATCCGCCAAAAGAAGTCGTTGTTCTCGGTGACTTAGCATTGTATGTCAAGTATCACCTTTATCTTGCAGTTGCCATTGACTTCCCTCTAAAAGTTTAGTAAAAATGAAAAATGGCGGAGCAGAGGGTGAATATGGATCGCCAAATTATGCTGCGCCGGAAATGTTGCTGCATGCCGATAAACCGTATACAGAGGCAGTGGACATGTGGTCCTTGGGGTAGGTTCTATCGGTTCTATTTCATCTGATGTTTATCCTTACCTTTTCCAAGAGCAAATATGTATATTTTCCCGTCCGAAAACTTCCTTTATAATCACGTTGCAATAGAGCTTGGAGAAGATCCAGATACATATGCTCCTCAGGAAGCTGCACGCGAAATAGTAGAAAGCCATAAGAAATCAAACAATGGCTCCAAAGGTTTGATTGACGTACTCCTGAGTAAAGATCCGGAAGGACCATCATGGGTAAAGGAAATGACTCCTGAAGGTAAGTCCTATTAGTCCATAACAGGTAGTAAGGATGTACATCATTTCAGCAGCAATCGATTTCATGCGAAAATGCCTAGAGCCGGATCCAATCAAAAGAATGTCTGCGAAAAAGGCGCTTGACCACCCTGTAACTTCTCAATCCCACTCGTATGATAGTTCGCATTACTAACACTAGACATCGTCTAGTGGCTGAATATTAAAGGTGAAAAAGAGGGCATCGGTTGGGACTATGATGCGAAAAAGGAGTTCAAAAGACTCGCAAAGGTGGTTGCGGATCCAGAGATACGTGAAAAATTGCGGAGTCAAAGCAGCCAACCTGGATCTCGACAGCAATCACATGGGTCAACTTCAAATAGAACTGATCATCAACGGGAGGGCCAACCAAAGGATGTTGCCGTCGGACACCACGCTCCTTCTCAGACTTCCACGAGTCGTACTCAAAGCAGAGTTCCGAGTAAATCAGAGGCTCATGCTACTGCAAATGGCTCTGGTGTTGGAAAAGATCAGACAACTCCTACCGATCGCACAACGAGCAGGGTTCTGAGTGAAGCAAAAGAACATAGAACTAAAAGTGGTCTTAGTACAGGAAAAGACCAGACAGGTCCTACCGCTCGCACACCGACTAGGGTTCTGAGTGAAGCAAGAGCAAATAGGACTGAAAGTGGTGCGAGTGCAAGACAAGACAAGACAGCTCCTGCCGCTCGCACGTCGAGCAGAGCTCAGAGTGAAGCAAAAGAAAATACAACCATAAGGAGACCAAGCCCAAAGAAAGGCCAGACAGGACAGATTCATCACCGTGTTGCCAGCAGTAGTACGCCCAATCCCGGGCCAAGATCCGAGAGTGCTAAGAAGAGGGAAGAGGCAACACGCTCTAGGAATAATAGTCAAGTTGTTGAATGAGAGATGCTGGTTTAGGAAAGTATGGACTTGCAGGGTCATGTCGAGATTATATAATTTTGATCTACCCATGGCAGAATATACATGGCTATTGAACCCACTGTTATATACAGTTGAAATTGACCAGAAATATTACGATAAAAAACGATTGTAATTGCGTCTACGTCTGAATAATAAAAAATACCCTGAGAACGTATGTATGACTCGGACATCTCTTTTCAAACGTACAAGGGCGAAACGAGATGTTCATTGTACACTCACTGTCAACACTAGTACTTACTCCACTTCTGGATGTCTGCTTGAATAGGCGATTTACGAGTCAATAATCCGTTCCATCGGATTTCATCCATGACAATAGTTGTAAGGCAAGCCAGCGCCTACAGTACCAGGATGATACTGCTAAAGACCCTCAACGAGATCTTTCGCCAGAAGCCGGGATCAAGTGTATGCCTTCCTACTACCTCAAAAATTCCTCATTGATTGTACCTGCCTGTAACTATCGTAGATGAGCCTGCATAGCAAGACCTAAAGAATAAAAACTGGTTCATTAGTACATGCTGGAACATCATGGTCACTTTGAATAAAATATACCATGAAAGGATAACGGATTGACACTCCATAATACAGTACTTTGCCAAATGTTGTTGTCTTGCTCGCGTATTCAGGCCTCTACCGCGATTAGCAGTCTGCCGACTTATGCTGTAGGACCAATTTCGTCTTCACGCACTAGTCTGGCAGAAAACTGAGAACTTTGGTGTATAACAACCTATCTACGCCGCATGGCGAAAATCCCAGAGCTGACACTTAAATAAAGGCAATTATGCACGGTACAGAAAAGTCCCAAATAAGATCTAAGGTCTATAAATAAGAAAAAGAATAAAATCCCCGATTATATCAGAATGAGCCTACGGAGTCAGTGATGATCAATGTTCAGCAACCCATCGTAACTACATCGTAAGGACCATCATGGTTCGAGAGGTGCCCTTCAGCGACCGCAGAGAAGAAGTCAGATACGGCCCCAGTACTGCACTCGTTAGAATCGTTATCCTGGCCTTTAATAGTTGTCAACATCAAGCTAATCAAGCTAATCGGTTATTAAAAAGGAACGGGTAGTGCTCACCAGGACACGCTTTCCACTGGTTTGAGTCCTGGATGCGTACCTCACCCGAAGGGTGATGAAACTCCAAGAACCTACCAGGAACGATCGGAATAGGGTCTTCTTTATTTGTCACATGCGTGAGGTCGGTGACATGAGAATCGACATAGTCTGCGAAGGCTTGGTTCCCGACGCGTGGTAGACCGTAACCAACGTACTTGTACTTTGTGCCGGAAGGTAGGTGCAGTGGCAAGAAGACTGAATCGAGTAGTGCTTGCGCTGCACCGAGCGAGTGCCCAACCATCGTCACACTTGCATCGGGGTGAGCAGAAAGAGTGGTCTGCACAGCAGATAGCACATCCGGTGCCACTCTGAGAAGTAACATTAGATTATAATTCCATATAATGATGTAGAAAAACATGCGGACCGGGCATGGGAGTCTGCAAATCCATCGTGGACCTGGATCGAATCGTCTATACCCGGAAAAAGATTTGGATCAAGATTAACCTTTACGATGTCGGCATCGGTCACAAGTGGGATACTATCAAGTTAAGAACAAACAAGGTATCGGGAGATTTAATTTTTAGCATCAGCACCTATATAGTTCCATCAGATTAACATACGTACATCTTGTCTTTATCAGTACCCTGATGCGCGACGACAAGGGAGTTGAGAGCGGGATCGAATCCTACGTACCCTGGATTAGTCAAGGGCAATTATATCAACGTTAGAAATCTGATTCCGCTGAACGAGCAGACAATGCACTGACAGAACTGATCGACAACTCCATCACCTCCTGATGCGGTAGGCTCAAATCCGGGATTTGCGTCGCAGTTTGCTAGGTCTTAGTTGAGGCAAGGCAGTTCGTGGGGAGATATTCCTGTTCATACCTCCACAGCTCCAGTTCCTCGTTACGCTCGGGTTACAATATGCCGCACTGGCGAAGAATGAGAACGGCTTGAACGTAGAGATTTGGTCCATCAAAAGCGTAGTGATCGACTGGCGTCTCGCAAGTCGGTTGAAGTCAGGCCCAGTTCCAGAAGGAAATAAGGGCGTTGAATGAGCCAGAGAGAAAGCTGCAAATGCAGCGACGAGAATTGAAAACGAGAGACCGGCCATGTCAGATTAGTCGAGTAAAGGAGCGTAGAATTTATACAAACGAAAGGCAAAAAAGCGCGGTCTCGGACCACTGACGGAGAACAGGAAGATGTATGAGGGGGCGACGAAGCGGCGCCTCAGGGGGCACAGAGCGCTGACCCTAGCGAATATCAGCAAACCTATTTTAGAGAACCCGAGATGGCTAGGCCAGTCTGAACAAGAGATTCAAGTTGAAGGTTGACTGATCCCACTGCGGCGCGGGTGTTCTTGGATTGCAACAGTAGCTGTGCATCACCGGGGTTGGCGAAGCATGAGTTCCAGGAGACGTCTTGGTGATCAGACATCACACAGCCGTTAGAATCCCGAGCCCTGGAGACAAGCTATTCGCGTCGAAGGAAACATTGAAGGAAAGATGCATCTATCATGCGGTCAAAGTAAGTATGATCTTTTTCGGTAACGTGAGAGCTGTCTCGACTTTGAGCTGTGAGAAGACTGCAATAAATGAGAATCAAAACCCAACTCAGCAGGAGAAATCTTTTGAGGGAGAATACTTTCGCACCTGAGACATATATTCACCAAATCGAGCTGATGCTGACAGCCATGGGTCAAAATCATCAAATTGATTTGGTAATCCTGCAAGCGACGACCAACTAAAACCACGTGTGCACACAAAACGAAAGGCTTCGTAAGTTCGCATCTGCCCTGGAGACAAGCTAGCATTCATTATCGCGACAAGCCTGCATGTGTTACTTGGGGCGTACGATAAGTAAGTACTGACAAACCGTGTCGACAAGTCAGCTGCGGGAAGAACTCTATGTATAAGTGACAGGGACACGACAGGGTAACTCCACGTGATAGTGACAATGGGTCCACCCAACTGAAGCGCGTTTCTCGTGTCTCGTGCTTTTCTACACTCAATCCAACAATCCTAACAAGGTGCTCCTCTCCACAATGGCACCCTCGAAGATTCAAATAATGTCATCAGAGGCATCTATCGCACCATGCGCATCGAGCCCCCAGCTCATGCCATTTCACATAGGATATTCGGGCCCTGCTCCTATAACCACATTTTTTCGTGTTGGAGAACTTGACGAGGAATCGCCGTCTGCTCCATCAGACGGTTGTCCTAGTATTGTCGCGGTTAAAGATGCGGTGCAGAACCAGAGCGACTCTTTGCCCACGTTTTTGAAAACAAAGATTAGAAAACGGCTCATCGCAGCATTTCGAGGACGTCGCGTTGTGGGCACCGAGGTTTCCTTACCGGAGGGGTATACGGGTCTTGTTATGATTTCTGCTGCACCAGGGACGTCAACTCTGGAAATGAGCCCTATAGGCAATGATAGAAAGGAAAACGGGAGAGTGAACGGAAGCGCTAAGTTCAGACGGAAAACAGCTGCTCGCGGGTCCAGACGGACGAAGCCCATCGATATTGATGACGACGACGGTGCTATGGAACCCAAAGATCGACGCTCGCAAGAGATGGACGCCGACGATGCAGTACATCAGTCTTTGATTTTGCACAACGACTCGCATGAAGGTGAAGTCAGAACATTAAAGGCGACTCAAACGTTCCGATCTTTGTTGGTTTGGAACGCTGATATTGCCGTCGACGAGGGCCGGGACGAGTACATCAGAGCTCTTCGAGAATGGGCTGCTATAGCTGCAGAGGTGTGTAGATCTTTTGCCCACTTCCGTGGCTCGAATTAACTTCTCGTAGATTCATCGTACAGAGGATTAGCAACCCAGTCCTGGTGTCCATGTAAATACCGATTCATGCTTCGAGACTATATGCCGCCGGCTTCAACCTCCATCATAGCTCACTACACACAACCCAGCACCCAGAAACGTTTTGCACTTTGCATGTCATGCATGAGATTGACACCGACAAGATTTGCAAAATAAGTATATTTTAGATGCAAAGAGATTCACAGCAATTGACGAAATTAAAATACAACAAAAGCAAAAGCGAATTCCTAAAGCTCGTCTTTGACATGTTCTTCGTGCTCTTCAGCTGTTTCAGCAGATGGCTCAACGGGAGGCTCTGGTGCAGGTGCGCTCCTCTCTTCTGCATCAACCTTCTCAGCCGCGACGGTCTCGGCTTCAGGCTCAGGTTCAGCCTCCACTTCAGGTTCGGGCTCCGATGCGGCCTCGGGGGTCTCTGCTGGTGTTTCAGTTGCTGCTTCAGATACAGCTTCGGTGGCTGTCGCGGTTGCGGAACCGGCTGCTGGCCCGACGTTAGCGTCCATCACTACCTGACCCGCTTCATCCGTCATCGGCATTCTGACCTTCTTCGACTTAGATGAAGACGACGAAGTTTCCTGGCTCTTTGCATCCTCCTTTTGGCCTTCCGCTTTCTTGCCAGCAGATGGTGCACCACCCATCATGCCAGGGTATCCATTCTTTCCATGGAAGTCCTTCGCACTGCCCTCTTTTACGGCCTTCTCAAAGTCGATCATGTCTGCAAACCCTCCATGAGCAAGTTTGAGCATCTCTGCCTCTTGTTGGCGCTCAATTTCGAGCTGTTCTGGGTCAGGAATGAACTCCTCTGCTGCTGCCGCTGCATTCAATTCATCGAAGTTGGCGCTACCGTCGAGAAGAGAGTCGAAGAACCGTGAAAGCGAATCGTGCTTCAAGATGCCTGAAGGATCGATAGATAAGCTCTGTGAACTTTCAAGAATTGTAAAGAGTATACAAACCCATGAATTGCCTGGGTTTCGTCTCTCCCGCCGGCCAAATGAGAACTTTAGAATCGCCGTCCTCGCCCTTTTCGAAGCCAAGTTTAACCGAGCTCTTCCCACGTCGGTCCCGATGTGAGAAAAACTCCATGTCATCGCCATACTTGTTTGCGAGCGTTGACCATAAGAGTGGCATCTTGTTCGTCTTTTTCATGAGCAAAGCACGGTGCCTTTTCATAATCTATCATCATGAAAAAAAGTTATTAGAGTTGGTTGATTGTTCTAAAGGGATCAAGTACCTTTTTGTCGTTAATTTGGCCCTCCAAGTCCTCAATATAGTGAACCTTCTTGATTTTGTTTGGGATACCACGTTGGGCAAAGTAATAGAATTCACTAGCAGATCGCTGAGGTCCATCAAATTCAATTGGCTTCATTTGCTTTCCTCGAGGATAGAGCTGGACAACGGAACAAGAATGTTAAGCACAAATGAATCCAAGGGTTGGCAGGGCGAGAATCGAGTATTCTGACCTTCACAGTTGGGAATCCCTTCACGCCTTGGTCAGCACATAACCGTTTGTTGGTTGCATCGTCACAGTCTACTGCATACATAGGTATGAGCGGATGGAGGCCAAGAGCAGCTTTGCTATATTCTGGAGCCATTTTTTGACAATGCTATGTTTTACTAGTTAGATGATTTTCCGACAATGCACGAACTGCTTCGTGAGAGAGTGGAAAACTCACACCACACCACGGTGCGATGAACGCGACGACAGAAGTCATCTAAACGAAAGCAAATAATTTCTTTCAGTCATAAATACAGAGATTGCGTCTTTAGAGAGGCATGCATACGTTCTCCTTCATGGCAGCCTTGAATTCTTTGTGCCCGATCATCTTCACCTGCGAATTCTTAGGGAAGAGGGCCCCGGTAACAAGATTCGGCGCGACCGCCAGAGACAGGAGGAGGAGTTGCGGCAACATTCTAGCTTCTCACGACGCGTAAAAGGCGTCAACGTCCTATACGATGAGCACCAGACGGAAGGAGGGAGAAAGGTAGGAGAAGGAAGTGTGCGGAGAGCTGCGGTGCAGACGTGTCCAAACGAATATCTACTTATAAGCGCGGTTCCGTGGTAGCACACCGCCGATCCCACGGTTAGCGCAAAGTGAATACGTGGAACTCGGAGCACGCGTCCATTCCTCTGATGTTCTCTCCCACTCTCAATCAATTTCTCAAACCCGTTCGCCTAAGTGGTAGGTTCGTGGGTACGTCGTCACCGGCCCCCGAATGTAGATGCCTTCGTGCGAAAGGCAGTTTGGTGACTTGCGAATATACATGTATGGTATAGTAAATGCACAAAAATAAATACTTGCTGCGCTGACCTGGTCATCTTTGCGGGACTCCTGCCTTGGCTACATGTATACTTCATAATTATTCTCAATGGTATTCCTCGATAACATCACAAAGGTACAGAATTCTCAAACTGAAAAGGTTTCAAGACATTAATATTGCCACCTCTAGTTTTTATTTGTTCGTTCATTCCACCCTCACGCTCCTGCTGTGCTGCTCCGAAGCAACCGGTGAATAGTATGGAATTTGAGTTTGAGTATCATACGATTGCATGAGGGTATAGAAATTGAATACATGCTGTCATGCTACAACGAAGCACTTACATAAGCAAGAAAATCGGTAAATGATTGACGGTTAGGCAATACGAGACAAACCTGCCCAGTGCACACTGCACAGGCTACGGATCTATGGCACTTCTTCACTCCCAAATGCCTATGTCTTAATATAGAACAGGTCCAGCAAATTACCCGACAAATGTACATCGCTTTTTGAAATGAACACGCTCCAGTTTACACACGCTCCTTTAACGATTCAAATATTGTTCGACGCGAACTCTTAGCAACATCAACTGTGGGCAGCCTCCATTCGCTGTGCTTCTTTTGAGGTGGATGCAAAGCTATATATTTAATGGTCTAATCTGACGATTCGGAGTGTGAACACTGCGTCGGATGCGACTCTCTGGAGGGTGAGACATGGCTCCCTGCTGCCTCTGGACTCCAAAGGTCTCGGGTTACGGCTTCCGAAAACATATAAATTCTGTATTTGCGCCTGGGTACCTCATCTTTCAGTCTATCATCTGTATAATCTAGCGGAATGCACGGGAATCAATACTCACTATCAGCTTTCTCCGCTGCAGGCAGGGTAATCACGCTCTGCCTCATTTCATCCTTCACTATGACCTCCATCGTCTCTGCTCGGGTTATTCACCGCCGTGATGATACAACATTCAACTGGACCACAGTATGTTGGACTCATTTTCTGGAATGAACCTGACTAAAGTTGGTGGTAGCTTACACCCTCAACGTCTTTGAAATGGACGAGCTGCTACGATAACTACTACTGTAGCAGGCTCTCGGTGAGCTTACTGACATGATAACACAGACAGGCTAGCCGCTGAGATTTTTGAAGGTGCCCTTACGCTACTCTGATCCCTCCGGGAAGCAAGCAGCCGTAGCATTGGTTAAGCTGCCATCTAGCTTGTCCCCCAACGATAAAGGCTACAAGGGACCTGTCCTAATCAACCCTGGTCTGTATTTTAAACATTTATGACATTTCCGCTAACATGTTCGACTTAGGCGGCCCTGGAGCATCTGGTGTCGACTTGGTCCTCAAATTTGGAATAATATTAGTGAGGGCGTTGTCGGTACGCAGTTTGACGTCATAGGCTTCGATCCTCGAGGTAATTTTCCTTTAGCCCATCATGTTGAGGCGAATTAACATTTTCGCATTCAGGAGTTGGTTATACGACTCCGCCTATATCTTTCTTCGAGGATTCCGTCGAAGCTGGAACGTTTCTCATTCAGCAAGTTCAGGATCTGAATGCGAGCGTGACGTCGATTGGCAGGGTGTATGTACAGACTACGAATCTTAACAAGCTTGCGCTTGAGCGTGCCAAAGTGGTGGCACAGACAGTGACAACCCCGACGGTTGCACGGGATATGCTCAGCATCATGAAGGCTGCTGGACAGGAAAAGCTCCAATATATTGGATATTCGTATGTTCTTATTGCGTTATTAGTAATCTTCACCATCTTATAAGAATTGAGCTATGGGACTGTTCTTGGAGCGACGTAAGCACCCTATTCAGAGCTTCCTTTTCCGTAAATGACATTATTGCTGGTGATTTAGATTCGCGGCGATGTTCCCAGTAAGTCATTTAAGTTACCGTTTGCTGTGCTTTGATCGACGTGTTACCAGGATAAAGTTGGACGTATTGCCCTGGACGGTGTTGTAAATTCTTGGGATTATTACAAAGGTATTTGAGGTTTATGCAAGAGTATCTGGAATGCAATGATTCAGTTGCTTTAGGGAATGCCACGAGCTGGCTTCTTGACGCAGACAAGTGTTTCACTAGTATTCTTGACGCATGTGTGCAGGCGGGCCCAAAGTTATGTCCCCTTTACGAAAAGTGTACCAATCTCGTCCTCGCTCGAGTCAATCGCATTGTGGACAAACTGAGAATGACACCCGTTCCCGTCTTCAACCAAACCGCATTCGACTCCGGTCTCGTTGATTCTGCAACAGTCCAAAAGCAGATCTTTCAAGCTCTTTACTCGCCGTACAATGAGGGTGCGGCTCTGGTGGCTGCACTTGCTGCTCTTGAGCAAGGCAATGGAAGTGCCATCTATCAGGGATCGTTTCAAGACCAAACTCAGCAGTTACTGGAAGAAGATACACCACCGCAGACTAACGGGACTTCTGCGTCCGGAAGTGAGACATTTCGGGCGATTTTTTGTGGTGACAAAGTCTCGGATGATCCTGGGACTGTTGATGACCTGAGGGAGGCATATCGTGAAACATTAGCAGTTACACCCTTTTTCGCTGGGATTGCAGCCGCTGAAGATACCTGCCCGTAAGTCATATATCCATTTTCTTACATTATTTCGGCATAATTAATGTCATATCAGGGGCTGGTCAATTCGAGGAGATGATCGTTTTAAAGGTGAGTCGATTACACTCTCAAAAGGAATCGCAGATTGAGAAAATGAATACCATCAGGATCTTTTAATCAAAATACTAGTCATCCCATATTATTTGTCGGAAACTTCGCTGGTAAGTTCAGATGTATCAAGAATAGTCAATTTCATTGATAGGCATTTTGGTTCGTTAGACCCGGTTACGCCCCTGGCAAGGCAAGTGCACATTGTTCTCTTCGATATTCCTCGCTGCTAATAGATGTTTCTGCAGCGCTTTTCTGATGTCAGAAAGTTTTAAAGGTTCTGTAGTGCTCACGCAAAACTCGTCTGGAGTAAGTTACTACGTACTTTCGTAGTTAGCCTCTGTACTCATTTCCCCTAAGCATACATCCCCAGCTGCAAAGTCGAAATGCACCAGCAAGATTTTGCGTGCATATTTCGCAAACGGTACACTACCCGAGAAAGGAACGGTGTGCCAGATCGAGAGCTCCATTTTTGGAGAGTCCCATTCATCATAGATTTCGGGACGTAGTTTACGACGAAGGGTTATTGGAAGCGACTTGCGAACAGGGTGTATCCGAAATCGTACAGAGGCACAGCGGCTTTAAGTACAGACTCCTTCGATGAGCACGGCATAGTAGTTTTATTATTTATTCTTGAATTATTAGTTGTTATGGACTTTTCAATTTGAGATAACTTATTGCATGATATTTGTGTGGCCACTAGGATTAAATTTCACTTGACGCCCGCCTGTAACGAATATTATCCGCTCCACTGGGCCTCCAGCAGCTGTAACAGCATCAGGGTACAACACTAATTGGTTTTTTTTTTGACTCCAGAATTCGCAATTAAACCACTACATTCAGTTTATCTTTAGGTACTCAGAATGCTCGCCAGTGACATTATCAATTACGCTACCAACTTACACTAGGAGTACAACTGCAGTTACAAATTAATTATCCAAACCTTCTTATTGTGGTATATCTTGACCTCCTTCCTTCGCATGTTCTCGTCTCGAGGTAATCGCTTAAGCAGAAGCAGAAGCAGAAGCAGAAGCACTCGGAGGTGCACCACTGCCGCTTGGAGCGCTACCACCGCCAGGCGCACCGCTGTCAGGATTCTCAACACCACCATTTTCCGTGTAGTATACTGCAGGAGAGACATCGTAAGATGCAGTCGTGTTGATTCCGAGCGAGCTCCACGCAAGGATCCCGTCCGTAATATCGTCGCCGAGGAGAACATACTCCATAACCGGGTCAATGACATCCGCTTCTTCCGATAAGATCGAGTCGTCCGTGTTCTCCGTCAGGTCCTGCGTATTCGTACTATACGGAGACGTCGCTTCGACCTGGCTGATAAGGTCCTGATCGAAGAAGACTTGGCCGACGTGCGAGACCGTGCCGCCTGTGTAGGTGCTGTTGTCGTTCAAAGTACCGTCGGTTTGGTGGACCATGACGTGGATATGCGTTGCACGAGATGTGTAGTGGCCGGGGAAGATGGTGACGAATTGAGCATAACCCTCATCGGATGTCTGTTGAATACCTCGCAGGAACGTTGTGTTCTAGGATGGTGTTTAGCTATTGTAGCAACCCTACTAGAACAGAACGGTTAACTTACGATGTTGGTGGCATCATTTGTACCGACGCCATTGCCGTTTGCAACGACACCGGAATACACACCAGTCGCGTTGGCTAATTAAACATTTAGAATCAATGGATAGTGCGACTTCGGTACAGATTCTTACCATGCCAGAAATCCATATACAGGCCAGAGACCGGTTCACAGGTCTCCACATCAATGAGTTCGATATCGGCATATAATGGAATACCACTCTGGTCTTCCGTGATATTTGAACGGATGAGCTCTCCGTCAACAACTGACAAGGATTAAATTAGGTCATATAGAATTGTAATGGAGAAGAGAAGACGAACGATAAGGGCCCTGAGTGACTTCTGGTCCGAGGACACACGAGCTATTGCCATCGAACGGATCAGAGTCTGCAGTAAGGCCAGTGGTATTGGACTTGTGGGATGTATTGAGAACCGTGTCCAAGTCGCGCTTGCCGACGAACGATCGGTCCGTATCAAGACCACGCGCTTTACGTGCCTTCTCCGCAAAGGCCTTGCGACGAGCGATTGCACGTTCTGCAACACCACCACGTGCCCTCAGCTTGGACTGGCATCCGGCAAGCGAACGGCGAGCAATGATCTGAAACTCATTGCGCCTAGCCAGCTCGGCCTTGGAGAGCGAATGCGGATGGGCGACTGCGGCAGTAGCGGAGAGGATAGTGACGAGAGCGGAGAGAGAAGCGAGGTTGACCATGTCTGTTGAGCTTTTGTTTGAACTATTGAGGTGAGGAAAAGAACGTTTACTTGATGGTCTACATGGGCTGCATTGGATCCCTTTTTATACGGATAAGTGACAATACATCCGGGAGTAGAGAAAAAGTTGTTGAAATGTTATAGTATTGATTTCTGCGTCGGACGCCGAACATAACGCAGTGACTGAGATAGCTGTCCAATAAAATGGTGCGTATTTGGCTGCGCAACATGGATTGCCTCTACCGAGTTGTCTTCGTCTTGGCACCGAGGATTTGCATTGAGGATCGACGGCTCCCGCGCAGTCTCTTCGTGGCAAATCCCATGTACAGGATTTGTTTTCAATGCAATCTGTGTGCCAAGCCAAGAAACAGAGGCCTTTGGCGGAAAGATAATGCGGTGCAGCCAGGAACCGCAGCTGAGACGGCCGCGGAGCCGCGATTTATTACCATTTAACCAATAAATTTGTTGGTTTCGGCTAGGACGCCGAAATATGCTGATGCATATGTCCTAAAGACCAAGGAAACGCCCGCCAGAGAACATGCATTATGTGTATTCGGGAATGCATCGTTTTGAAGCCTCGTATGAACATCATGATCGTCTGCCCGAAGGCGATCGTGTATGAAGGACAAGACCACCACTTGCATCCCGTTAGACATAGCTAGACTAGAAACGTTGCTTGGGCACGTCCCTGAGATAATGGAAGCAATGTTCCTATCATCCTCACGCCATCTGGGTTCCGAAGCTTTCGACAGGAAACCGGTTAGACTGCTGTCATAATGGATGTGAAGGCAGGTGAGTGACTTGGGAAGCCACATCTGCGACGTTCGCATGCTAGTTACGGTCAACGCCAGACATCGAAGATGATGTGTTTTCGACAGTAAGGATGGGATGCATTCATTATGAATCATAAGTTCGTCTTCCTTATCTGTCGAGCTTGTCGTGATTGAGAGTGATTCAAGTGACTGAAGGCATCGATAAAGCTGCTCTACTGACTCTGGATCCTCTTCCAATTCCTCGGGCTGTTCTAATGCAAAAGATAGGTTTGAGATGGCTGTGCCTTCGCGAGGGCATATCAAGCACGAGAAACATGGCCAATCTAAAGAGTCGATGACTGCAATTGATTCAAGGCTCCTCGGCATGTCTAAGCCTTGAAGCGCCTCTGCACCTTCACCGTTGCTACTCACGGTATCCAGGACCAAACTTTTCAGATTTTGTAGTGCTGAGACTGTGACGGTAATGTCTTCATAGCAGCCGTCCATATCTCCGACAAACCATAACCTTTCTAGCTTTGTGAGTGTGCGGATTTGCTGAAGAACATCCAAGAATCCGGGCTCCTTCGGTTTCTGTACCTCGACGTCAATATAAAGAGAACACAGGTTGGGAGAGTATCGGAGAATATCCGAAAAATCTCTCCAGTATGGACGCGAGTAAAACCCGGATGCAATGAGGGCAAGCTCGCGAATATGCATACAATGTGGCGTGCTGATATGAATGTTGAGTACAAGAAGCTCATGTGCCCTTACAATGGCCCTATGCCAAAGTGCACTTTGTGCGATGCCAGTCCAAGATCTGTGGACTAGGCACATGTTCCGAAGAGTACGTCTTTCCAAAGCATGACCGTCTGTTCGAGTCGCAGAAAATTCCTCTTCACTAGACTAGGACTTCACCTAGAGCATCCAAAGGGAGTGGTTCCATTGAAGAGATCAAAACATCGACTGATAGTTCGAGGATAATGCAGGGCACGCCTGCGGTCGGCTCCATCGCTCTTTCGGATCGTCCACAGTCCGTGCGCGAACAAAGTCGGGTTGGCCGTCTACTGTGCAAGAGCAGCAAGACGTATGCCAATTGCGGAGACACTCAGTGACAGTGACACTGATCCCATTGCACTGACGAGAATGACGTGACGTGACATTGACAAGCTTTGTTATGGCATCATCAAGTTTAGCCCTTCCTCATGATTAACTCCCGAGATTTCCGGCCGGCCAGATGCTGCCCTACCAGAGGAATTCATCCCACCAGACTTTACGTTCCGCCGTTGCCGCCATCATTTCCAAGGCACGTCGGAACGGGGTGTAATTGATGAGAAGATCGCCATCTGGTTCTGTGATAGATTCATAATCCTATCTTTCCCATGACTATGAATTGCGGCGACCATGGCACAGTGTTCATGTCCTTGACAAAACGGTAATTTTAAGCTAAAATATGGCTTGTACGGTCTTGAACTGGTTAGGAAGAATTCGCCGTTTGATCAAGATACTGAAAGAAGCCTAGTCTTGACTAGAGGTTGGCTAATCATTGAATCAATGCACAGCGCGCATCAACTCATATCGTTGGAATGTTCTTTGACGATGAACATCCCCTTGTGGTCTTAATGAGCTTCCGAATTTTGGTCTGGATCTACGCTTCCTTGGTCTTTCACCTCTACACCCTCCAGGCTGCGTGCATGTCATGCATGCTTCGTTCCCGTTCCACCGACTCAGCTGTTTGTCTCTCTTTTTCTCGTCTTTTCTGACTTTCGTACTCTCACAGTCGACCGACGAAGTTGTCTCTGCCACTGACTCACGAGTTAATTACGTCGGTAATGGATGGACAAACCAAGGCAATGGTGAACATATGTTCACCTCAGTCTCTGGTAGCTTTTCGCTCGATTTTGTTGGCCATGCTGTCTCTTGGTATTCACGAAAACTGTATAATGGCGCAACAATATCAATCACCCTCGACAATGCCAACACTATGAAAATGGATTTGAGCAGTGGGATGTCGGAGAATGATACGCCAGTGGTGGCAGCGTTGTTCTCAAAAGACGGCTTGGATGGCAGCGAAAGACATCATTTATTCATTCAATGGGAAGGACCTGGGTCGAACAATGTAGGCTCGTTTCTGGAAAATTATCAAATAGTGTACGTGTTCAATTTTTATTACCTTTTCAATCTCACAAAGCGAATGACAATGAATGCAGATTCTCACCAGGAGCAGTTGTGTCAGCGAGTCCCAGTCCTAACCCGGCTGCATCACGGACTCCGGGATCTCCGACGTCTCCAGCTTCCAGTCCTTCTCCATCTCCAATCTCTGGATCATCGTCATCACAAACCTCGACTACTGATAGAACCGGTGCCTCAAGCCAAACTTCCACTCCAGGCTCTGTGGTCACTCTATCGTCAAATTCCAGTTCTGTGGTTACTCTGACTCTAAATCCCAATCCGAATTCAATCTCGACCCCAGGCTCCGACGGTGCAACTGGCTCAGGGACTATCCCGAATAATAGTTCAAGTATAGCTCCACCATCAGGCTCGTCCGACTCACATCCAAACATCGGCTCAACCGTGGGTGGTGTAGTTGGAGGAATTGTAGGCGCACTCATTTTCTTATGTCTGGTTCTTTTATGCTTGCGGAGACGAAAAGCGCGCATCCTAGCGCAACAGGAGTCAAAAGCCGGTAATTCAATCATCTTCGTTCATTCTCCAATATCCTTTGTTAACGTCCTTTTGTCGGTATTTTATCAAGCAACACCGTTTATGACCTACCTAGAACGAAGACACAATCCGTTTGCCTCTTCGGCCCTTTCTCAAACTTCCTCCATGAAGCTGTTGTTTGATTCGAGAGACCGAGAACGCCAGGAGGACCGGCGCGAGCCAGAGCGTATCTACGTACTGGTGGATCCATCCTATTCAGCAACGTTGCTTTCCCAAGGAGCGCTCCCTCAATCGACGTTCACTCAAAGTTCAACGTCAAACTCACAGTCACTCTTTTCCTTTCCACGGGGATGGAGAACGTTTCGTCGTAATTCAGCATTTAAAGCACGAAGTGATACGACCCAGGGTACCTCACACACTACAACGTTGGGAAGACCGCCTGACATGTCTTATAACCCAATTGCATTCCTTCCAGGAAACCATGAGCACCAGCAAGTGCTTGATGATCCGCCGCCTGTTTATAGGAGTTAGGTTCTGTTCAATGACTTAGTATTTAGGAAGTTCTTCCATTCATTCCTTTATTTCTCACATTCATTCTCTCCAACACTCGCGGTACCAACCGTATTCGATCCTTTTCACATGTTCGACACTCGGCACAATCAGGCATCGAGATATTTCTGGATTTTGTTCGTCTCGAGCGCTCGGTTGATGGGACTTTTGCCATTCGTGGATAGCACTGCTTGGACTGTGTGATATGTTTCACAATACTAAACCGATGGTTTGGTGGTTTGGCAACGAGCTATAAGACCTATGCATGAATTTCAACCACTAGCTAAGTTTCGTCTTCGGCGGACTTAATTGCTTCAAAACATTCGAACATCGATTTGAATCGAAAGTGACTACCGTATTTTGTTCATGATTCGTCGACTACTCGAGTTCCAAAATATCTGACAGTCGTAGGACCAACCTCTAGAATAAATTAATCGAAGAGCGGGTTGCTCCTGAGCTGTCGACAAGCAAGGCATCCTATTGGTAGTTGCAACTAAGTTCCGGATTTCATCAAAAAAATCAAGTAGGAGACATACTGCACAAGCGCTTCCCAAACCTGCATTTCCAATCCATCCGGGCTCCCAGTACACAACACCGAGACCATGACCTCCAGAAAGTCCGGTGAGGACGTTCTCAACATCGTGCACCCAGGTTTGCTGTCCAGCTGCGGATTTCGGGATACTGGTCTCCGAAAGCGTAACAGATGAGCATGAAACAGGCCAATCGGTCTCGGCGATCAATATGTCCTTAAGAATATATAATTAATCAGCGAATGATTTTAGACAGTAAGAGGGGCAGCCGTCTCACTTTGTTGAACTGTGACACTACCGATGTAAGAGTTGATTGCAGAGCGTTCAATGTTGCACGGGTGTCGTAGAACGGGTAAAAAGAGAAGGCAAGGACGTCAACATCACTTGTCGACAATGCTCCAGAGACGAAGATCCCTCCAAAGAAGAAATCCACTCCTCCACTGTCCCATCCATTTGCGATGTGCACGACAGTTTTTGCAGTCGAAGAAGCGGCTCGTACACCAGATACTGCTGAATGTAACAACTCAGAGGCCGGATGAAAGCCGTTGACACTGATTCGTCCAGTGGGCCAGAGTAATCCGTCGTTAATCTCGTTGCCAACTTGAATATAATCGATCGGCACGCCCGCGTTTGAGAATGCGGTCACAAGGTCCTTGGTATATCTACATACGGAAGATGAATGCAATAAAAAGCAATCCAGATCAACGAATGACTGACGTCCAAATCTGAGTATTGAGACCGTCAAGATCCTGAGGCCATGATGAGGGAATGGCTTGATGCCCTGGATCTGCCCCTGGAGACGTCTGTTCAGCGACAGCACCAAAGTTAACTATGGGAAATCAAATACAAGTATCACTGTAGTGTAAGTCCACGAGAATCTTCATTCCGGCAGCCTTAGCTCGTTTCGCTAATGCGATTCCGTAGTCCTGAGTGTACGTGCCCGCCGTCCATATGCGGATGCGTGCCAATTTGAAGCCGTGGTCAGAAAGGATTGTTTCGAAAGGTCGTTTTGAGCCACCGTCAGTGTACGAGATCCCTTGCGATTCTAACAAAGAAAGAGATGAAAAGTCTGCTCCATTGAGAGTCAGAGCGGCCAACGAGAAGCTGACGAACGAGAGCAGAGGTAGCACAAATCGTACGAGGCGCATTATGACTCAAGCAATGCCAGCAGAAGGCCATCATGTTCGATTTATATACTCTTGCGAAACGGCCTTCCGCGAATTTCGGTGGCAGAGAAAACGGGCCATATTGCTCAAGTACTAGACCGGACTCAATGATTTGGTGGTACTCGTGATACAACAGTTGGCTTCAGCCATCCGGCAGAACTATTCCGGGCTGCCCGTCGTTCAGTAAGTAAACTGGCCCGTTCCTTCGAGAAGAGTCGTCATATGAACACTTCATGGATTGAGATTTCCCGAAAAAGGTAGGATTCTCGGCTGGACCGAGGGAGATTTGGTTCGAAAAAGGCGATGACGACCATTCAACCGCGTCCTGGTATTTATTGTTGGGATAACACGGAAGGAACAGCAACATCTATCGTCATATTTTGTACGCCAGCGAAGCCATCCACGAGGTGGCTACCGCGCTGTTTCGGGTCAAAATTCTTATAAGCCGACTCAAATAGCAGAAGCTGATCCGAACTACCTTTTGCACATGTTATTTGCTGGAAACGCTTCTGGTCAAGCAGAGTTTCTTTAGTTCTGAGCACTCCGCGCCCGTTTGTAGCACCAAACTTGTTCCATTTGATATGGACGGGCTTGCAATATAATTGTGCTGATCTTACGCAGAAAATTCTGCGTCGGCGTACTGCAGTTAGTATTCGGTGGATTGGAAATGGGATGGATGACGTTTTGATTAGACAGAATTAGAGATGAAATTAGATTATATAATCACTGCTCATCACGTGGTATTAATTGCTGAAATAATCGTGAAGTGAAGAAAAAAAAGCCCACTGCCTTACGCTATTCTCGACTTCGTGAGGGCCGCTTCGGGAAACAACAGTCTAAAATTTACTGGAAAAATGGGTCTGAAGGGCACACTGACAAAAATAGATTATACATTTTAGTTCGTAATTCACCAGAGAATAAAATTGCGAGTATCACAGAACGGACCAGAGACAGCAGCAGCGCAAACACAGGAGGGGCAGGATCACGAAGCTCTATGGATATTTACGTGGACAAACCGGGTTTCATAAATCCTGCGAAGTATTGGCTCAATTGATCAGCATCTTCCAAGGGTCCTATCATTCCAACGTATCCATCGGGTCGGACAATAACGACAGCACCCTCGGGCAAGATTCCAAATGATCTGTACGCTTTACCTCCCTCTGCGCTACCAATAACCTTGTCGTCTACGAAAACCCTATTGTAGAATAGGGAAGCAGGGTCAGTTCCATACCTATCGGACAATGGGGCAGTCACTCACTTAGACCAATGCGGCCGCAGTGCAGACGGAACACAGGTGTAGTCGACGGACTCCTTTACCCCGATTAGTATCGTTAGGACCTCGAATACCTCATTCCATTCGGAATCGGGCCCGCGCCTGCGGCCAAAACGCGACAGGAAACCGGACGGTGCCGTCGACTCCTCCACAAATTTGTCAACATTGATCCTCTGACTTTCGTAGCCGAGGTCGCCCGCAAATACGAGGACCTTGAATCTCGTGTCCGAAGGTAGAAGATCTTGGAGCTCATATGTCCTTGCGTCCGCAACCCGGACAATTATCTGCGGTGGCATACGCATCCCAATTCTCAGGTTGCGAGCGAGGTCTTGGAATTTACCGTTCGTGATCGGAGATGGCGCATATTGAATACCTGTACCGGAAGTAAAACCATTGAATGTTTCATATGCCCTGAAATGCTGTCAGCGTCAGAAATTCATCAACTTGAATGGGGACCGCACTTCAGCATCTCTTCATGTGAAACACCGTCTTTATTTTGTTCGGTTCGTGGTTTCCCCGAGAAGAGTTTCGACCACTTTCTGTCGAAGTCAATGAGATCCTGTGCATATTTCCGTCGCTCAAACTCATACTATAGTTAATGGTCAGTATACTATCTCGACAATGTCATTGAGAAAATACTTACAGTTTGGAGCAGACCCCGATCCGCCCATCCTCGCAGGACATACGCAAGCTTCCATGCTACGAAACCGTTGATTGTTCAAAAATGTTTCAAAGGGATACATCGATCCTCGTAACATACCAAGATTATGTGTGTCGTTCATGCTGGCGTTCATGCCTTGACCGGCTTTCGGAGAGTGAGTGTGGCATGCGTCTCCAGCAATGAAGATACGTTCATTCTTAGTGTAGGAGGAAGCCACACGTTGTCCGACTAACACGACATCGCTATTAGAGTTTATCGCAACAGAAATGATGAGACCTACTGATATATAACGTCCACCAACTTAGTTTATCTTCTGGAAAGGTGATCTCGTACGGATACAGCTGTTTCTTGCATATCTATTGCAAGTCCGAATTCAGCATGACGGCTTTCTGGATTGGAACGAAGGCAGTAGGGTGGAGTTCGGATTTACCTCAAGCAACTTCTCGGGTCCCCATTTAGTCATATCAACGCGGCCGTTGACGTTCAACACTTCTTGAGCGTCCTCATCCGAAAGTTGCGTGTAAAGCCGGACGAGATCGCCTTCACGCGGAATGACCATCATCGAACCACCAAGGGAATGAATGAGACACCTGTTTCGGATATCTGGGAAGTCCGTCGAAGGGAAGCTGTCGACTACGCCCCAAACATAATCTGATGTGATTTCATTTTAATAAGTACGCTTCTTTCTCCTGGAATAATGTTCAAGCACTGACTCGTTTGTTCGCCATCCATCGTAAAACCGAGTTGCCTCCTCACCCAAGAATGTGCACCTAATAGATAACTTCAAATATCAGAATCATCTGGCTTGAACAATTTAAACAAACGACGAACCGTCGGAGCCCAGCATGTACTTTGCATGGACGACTTCGGTTTCTGATTCGCCTGATGGGGTGTCTAATTTATGCAGGACAACCTAGAGCGTGTGAGTTGGAGTGCGCATTCGGAGCGCAGAGACAAGTACCTTCACAGGGTGGCTTTCCGGACTTTCGAGCTCAGCGTCGTCTTCACTCAGCGTCATGACTGCAGGCTGGACGGGACGCTCAACGTGTACCCCTTGCTCTCGCATAGAATCAAGGAAGATAGCTTCAATCCCACCTTGATGGAGTGTAACCTGCCACGGTTGAACGACGCATGTTCGAGATAATTCCAAAAGATTGCTTACCGAGTGTGAATAACGCGAGCCCGAGAGGTCGGTCTCCCCTTTATTTTTCAAATCTCTACAAGCCCTGGCTGATCTCTAGAGAGAGTGTGTGCATTAATGTCCATTTCCACATGCATCTTAAAGTATATTGCTCAGTGCTCACCGCAATTCCGCCTTCCGGAGTAGGGTCATAGAATGCGGAGAAGTAAATATGGCACCCTTCCTCCAACAGGCGGTTAGCGAGCCCATAGCTCTTTGAGGTGGTATTTGCGTCAATGAGCACATATCATCCTAAGAAGAGCCTACCTGAAAGACCTCGATAGTCCTTGGTTGAATTCCATCGGCTTGGCCCGCTTCGACCTTACTAGCCCTAGGAAATGTTTACTACAAAGCAATTATCGTACAAGGAAATTCGAACCTCTTGTCGACGACTCGGACGGACACTCCGGCTCTGGAGAGAGCATTTGCTGCCATAAGTCCGGCTGGACCTGCACCGACGATGAGCACATCTACAGTAGAGACCTTAGACTGTACTGCCACGACCATCGTGAATGTTCTACCCTTGCGAGTGGTGAGGCGAGCTACTAATGAAGAGTTTCCATGAATAGATCGACGGCAAGGTGCTTTATACGCATGTCAGCCCCGCGTAAATAATGCTCTGCCTGTGGAAGACGCGGCCGCAACGATCAGGGTTTAGCGCGAGTATCGCACAATGGAGTTATATCTGCAGGCCTTCGATGTATCGCCATGAAGCACTTTGCTCGTTTACATCTCGATCGGGAGATTCAGAATCATTAATGGCCGATGCTTTAATTTGCAATAATATGGTCAAAGTTTGATAGTATTCTCGGTCACTTCGCTTATGTGGACTCGGCATGTGCGCCATAAGTGAGCTGTGCCCTATTTAGGGGTCTCATCACCGATTATCAGCGCCCGACAACATTCATTTGGGGGAATGATGTCGGAACCGTCGCCTACTAACTGTGTCGAGGGGCGCTGTTAAACACGCCTCGAAGGCGCCGCAGCGCATGAAAGTTCATGATGTAACCTAATGCACAAGGATTAGGTGTTGCGGGCGCAGGAGCGAGTTATCGGGATAACCGAAGGATCGGCTGACAAATTTAAATGTAAGAATCGACTTGCTATCTTTCATAAGAGAGCCAAAACAGTATGAATGGATGTCGAATCCACAAGAATGTACATGACAGGCGATACGTCAACAGAAGGAATGAATAGCTCTGACATGCATTGATATTTCGTCGGTTACGGCACCTCCTGCTCAAGCAGGGAAAGAGAATGTTGAAGATTCAAGACAACATCATTTAAATAATCCGTGGTGCTCCATTGACGTTGGCACAGGAACAAAGGCGTTATTCCTGAAACGAAACTGTGTGATTGTGGCACTGGAGAGCTCGAATACGTAAGCGTGTCCCATGTTCCCGAGTTGAACGGACGAATGCTGGCCCGTTAACTTAAAGGCCTGTCGCAAAGTCATGCTTCCACTGCACTCAAATCTCGGCAGTATCCTGCGTTCTTTCCAGTGCTATTCTAATTGCGAGTATTTCTGGGTGATCAACTCGACCCACAGAGCACGGAAGTGAAAAATTGCATACCAAACGTCCATGCCGCCGCATGACTGCCCATCAGTTCTGATGCTAGCAACATTATGCTACTAGCACTTTTTAGGCAAACGCCGCTTTCATTTGTAGGTAATGTAGTGTGATGCTCCAGCAATCCAAATAGCTCTGTTGGAGAAATTACAATGAAGCTCGCGGATGTCATAAACTCACAGCAAGGTTCTAAATAACCTCAAAAGGAACAAACGGTGATTAGATCCCGATAATGTTATGGAGTAGAACAGAGCAATAACGTGGAAAAACAGGAAACAGGAATATGACAAGCCACTCTTGAGCGACCCGGCAAACACTTACGCTGGATAGCTCCAGGCCAAATCAACCAAGATAGATGGTCTTGATAGATCGCTTCAAACTTGTCTGCATTGGCAAGTGAAAAAGCGACGAATAATGCAAAGCGAATAGTAGAAATAATATTAATGGTATCACTACGGCATACGTCGATCATGCACAGTGGATTCTTCGGGTTTTGGTTTGGTCTGAGTTAGGTCAATCAGTACAATAAGAAAGGGAAATGAGCAGTCCACAATACTACTGATCTCGTACCATTTATCCGATACAGCAAAAGACCGTTGATTCACTAGGACAGACCTATAAGCAAATCTCCGTTGTCATCCTCCAGTTTAACGGACCAGCTGCGTAAACGTCTTTCGTGAATCCGGGTGGCCTTCAGGTGCCGTTTTCGGAGGAGCTGCACGACGGATCCTTGCATGATACGGATAGTCTCCAATTCCAAATAATTACCCTTTTCCCTCTGAGAATCAATGACACCCAAGATATAAAATAATAAATCTGCTGCCTTCTCGGTGTTGGCTTTGCTATCGACTATCCCGATACTTCTGATGCAAGACCATCTTGCCTCCAATATCCTTGTGTCCAACACCTCCAAAATCACCTCTGTAACGTTCGGACAAAGTGGTAGAATGTCTTCCCAATTGTAGGCGCGAGTGTGCACTAAATCGAGGCTCGATATTTTGTTGCCATGGAATGCGAAGAATCGCCTGACTCCTCGAAGGAGCATTATCTGATGTGCTCTTTCGGAACAGATTACGGTGCGGATAGATGGAAGTGAAATGGCCTCAAAATGTGGGAATATGATTTCTGGGGGTCCAATGAGGGTGTGAAGATGAGAGAGCTCGTATAATTCTGATGTCACAAGTTGCACACGATCGGCCATGGATAAGTCCAAGACCCGGAGTTCGGGGATAGCGGGAAGCAGTGAGGATAGCTCGACTTTCGTCCAAGGCTTGAAGTGCCAACGCAACACTCTCAGAGGAACACAGACGTCCAAAAGAATATCATCGATGTTGAAAGCGTTATCAATCAGGTCTGGATCGATACAGCAAGTGAAATAGGACAGATTGGTGCAAGTACGAATAATCAACTCCAAGTCCGAAAGAAGGTTTTGCGGCCTCCTTCCGTCTTGCTTCTTTGTCTCTTCAGTCAAACGACGTTCGGGGCAATTTTCTGACTTTGGAACCATCCGCAAATGAATATCGAGCCGCCTGGTCCACCGCTTCGCAACATTGGCAATCCGAGCGTTCTCTGAAAATATGCGAGCCAGACACCGTACCTGTTCCAAGGTATGCAATGTAATAAACTCCAAAGCAAGAGGCCTTGAAAGCTCGTAAAAGCGTCTAGAAACAAGGCCAATGGCATGCTTTACTGAGTTGCTTTCGGATAATAGACGACATGGACCGTCTCTGTGAACACCGCTGCCGGTCGCAACCTTTGCCCAATTGGAGGAGTCCGAGTTTGCGGCTTCGTCTGTTACACTAAGATAGAGAAAAGTATGAGTCCATAACTCAGGCGGAAGCTGGACAATACCAGACATTAGGTGACTTCAATTAATTGGCAGGAGCACTTGCAGGACAGTTGGAAAATTTTGGGGTGGCTCGGCAAAGTGGACGTACCTTAATATATACCAAATAGAGATGTAAATCCGTGCAACTCTCTGCAAGTTTCTGCAAGTGCTCGAACCCACTTGTTGGCACTTGCAGATGCGTCGGAGTTTGAAATAAAGAAATGTCTGACTACAACCCAACAAAAATCATGAGTAACGTGACATGGGCATTAAATGTCGATCTCTGCAAGTCCAGCTCTTCAATTTTGAGAGACTTGCATAACTCTTGGCATCTTAACTCTAAATTGCCGAAGCCCTTCTGCAAGTGTCTCTGCCAATTAATTGAAGTCGCCTATTATAGTCCAATGTGGAGGTCAGTGATTATCATACAATGCCAAGTCTGATCTGCGAACACGTTCATCACGGCAAAATCGAATGATCACGTGTGCACCATAGCTTAGGCTTAAGCTAAAGCAGTTACCAGTACATTATATCTCATCATTAATATTCTGCGTATTGTAATTATCGCTTGGACCAAAGACCCATGCCGAAGACGTCAGCGCAGCTGATCAATCGTATGCCCACTCAGCAGATTTTCTCATTGAACAGTTTTTTGAACCGGAAGATTTAGTTAGGATTAGACCTGACCAGTGACCACCACGTGAATAAGATAAGAATTTTTCTTGGAGTGCGAAACTGTGGTAGTTGTGGAGTAACTAGAGTTCGAGAGTTGGCTCGGCAAATCTACTTCGAAACGGTGCTAGGAATTCGTTATATATAAGGAGGCTTTCAGGACCCCGCTCGTCTTCGGCGGGTATTCTAGTCTTAACAGTCGTTTGACTATTCACTATGGCTACTGTGAAGAAACTACTGACTCGTCGCCTTGGCGCGAACGGACCGAACGTAAGTGCCATCGGACTTGGCACTATGGGTATGGATGTTTCAGCTATCCCATCTTTTATTATCATTAATGTTTGATCAAAGGCATTGGTGCGTTCTACGGCAAGACCGATGAAGCAGCTGCGTATAAAGCCCTTACGTATTCTGCGGATCGTGGCATGACGTTCTGGGATTGTGCGGACGTCTATGGCACTAGTATGTCCTTCACATAGGAGGGGTTTCACACATATTTCCTGACACAGCGATTCATAAGCTGAGCTCACTCTCGCAAAGTGGTTTGCTGAGACAGGCCGTCGATCTGAAATATTCCTTGCTACGAAGTTCGGTGCGCGTGACCCCGAGGGCAAATTTGGTGATGGAAAGCCCGTTTCAACCCCTTCTTACATCAAATATGCTCTTCAGCGTTCACTACAGCGCCTTGGGACGGATTATATCGACCTGTACTACCAGCATCGTGTTGATCCAAATGTGCCGATTGAGGTCGTTCTTGAGGCACTCCGTGAACCTGTTGAGAAAGGAGTTATTCGATGGATTGGTTTGAGCGAATGCAGTGTCGAGACGTTGCGACGTGCGAAGGCTGTTAAGGGCGTCGGAGAGAAAGTAGTCGCAGCACAGATAGAGTTCAGTCCATTCACTCTTGACATTGAAAAAGACGGGTTTGCAAAGGCAGCGCAGGAACTTGGTGTCGCTATCGTCGTCTATAGCCCTTTGGGGCGTGGACTCATCTCCGGCAGGCGAGTATCGCATAATTCCAAGACAATGCTGAGATGTCCGGTCTGACAGCACATCCATAGATTCCGCTCACGCGCAGACTTTGATGATAATGACTTCCGATTACTTTTGCCTCGTTTCTCTGAAGAGAACTTCCCTAAGAACGTTACACTGGTTGACAAGATCCAAGCGATTGCGAAAAAGTACAATGCGACGCCGAGCCAAATTACGTTAGCCTGGATTCTTGCGACTTCAGAAAACTGTTGAGTGCACCTCCGTACCAGTCAGTGTAGAATATCACACTGAAACATAGTGTGTAGATATCCCAATCCCCGGGTGTCGCTCTGCTGAGCGCATCGAAGAGAATGCACGCGGCGCTGAGATACAACTTTCTGCAGAAGATGTCGGCACAATACGCGCGCTAAGCGAGGCTGCTGACATCCGAGGTGACCGTTACCCATCTGCTGGCATGGCTTCTGTTGAGGGCAATTGCTTACCTTTGGAGGCATGGAAAGGCGAATAAGTAATACATGTTACTGGTCAAGGAGATTACAAGATTAGTTATCAGTTGCAAGAACAGCACATGCAAATAAAGTTGGTCAAATTGACGAATTCGCATCACCAAAGCAAGCATGAAAATGTATTGGAATTTATTTCTACTAAGACACTTTTTTGCATATTGTGGCGAATACAGGTCATTATATTTGATTATAGACCCTACATGTAGGTATATTGCCTTGTCAGACTCTGACGTAGCTTCGGCTTGTAAATTGCATCAACATTCTGCGCTTCTAGCTGATTAGGCAACTAGTACTAGCAGTTGCATATATCATATTGTAAAAAATCTGCCTCACAAGAATTTAAAGATCTGCAAATCTAAGGTGATACAGTAGTCAGAACTGTCAAACTTCTACGAGTAGAAGCAACGACCGTCGTGGTTTCTTGAATGTGACGATGACATACAGGCATTCACTGGTCCTTTAAACACAACCTTTTGAACCCTCTGCATAATTTTTTATACAAAAATTTTCTTGTTTTTTTTCTATTATATACATTCTAGACTATGATTAGTATGCTATGTAAAAATTATACAGGCATAGAGTGCCCCAAAAAATTAATAGAGAGGCAAGAAAAAATGAGGGAAATGTCACAAAAAGCGCTCCTTTGAACAGACTGTGACTCTTGTCACGCTGGCACGCTCCAACTATCCTACCAACTCCTCCTAGGCCCCTGTCTCTCTCTGTACAAAATTTCCTCCTCTTGAAAGCTGCTAGCTTATTTCTATTCACTCCTGTGACTCTATCAGGAAAAAGTCACATTGCTTATAATGTATTGTAGACTTTGTAAAGTATAATGTAAGTATTGTATATGTCAGTGACAGTATAGAGGGGACCCGAAGGCTCAGCAAGGGGACCCAGGCTACAACTATCCTACACAACAGAAATACAGAATGCAAGCACTGGAACATAGTTGGAACTTGCAGAACAGGTAGAGAGAGTGTTAAGACAGGGAGTTTGGAATAGCACTTAGATATATGTGCATATATGTGCACCCTTATATACTAGATACATTGTGCTATACTAGTAAATGAGATGTAAAACACAGTGTGTTGAATACTCCCCTTCAAGCCCTAATATTCTGTTGTTAACATTGAAGACTTATAAGTTCTATTAGGTGCTTGATTTGAGGGATGTAAAGTGCTTTTGTAAGGATGTCTGCAAGTTGGTTCTGTGTTTGAACATAATGTATGTTGACATAGTTGTTCTGAATGTAACAGCAGACAAAGTCCTTTTACAAATCAAGGTGTTTTGTTTGAGTGTTGAAAGTGATCTCCTCAGATTTGACAGTTTGTATTGCTCCCTGATTGTCACAATAGACTGTAATGGGTACTGATTCTGTCTGTAGTACTTCCTCAGCAAGTTGTTTGAGCCAAATGGCCTCTTGAGTCACATACACCAGTACTTACAACTCTGCTTCATAAGTCAATAGTGGTACCAGGTTCTGTTGTTTGCTTGACCAAGATATTGTTTACTTTCCCAGCTGGAATATGTATCTGTTAATTGATTAGTGTCCTTCTGTCATTTGTCCATCAGCATCACAGTACTCTCATATGGTCAATGTATTTGTGCCTCCAAGATGAAGCCAGTAGTTTGTAGTTCCTTTTAGGTACTAGAAGCAATGTTTTGCTACTTTGTAGTGGCTCATATTTGGTTGTTGTAGATAGTATGCTAATTGGCCTGTAATGTATGCAATGTCTGGCTGAGTACAATCTGCTACATAGTGTAATGATCCTACCATATTCATGTACAGTATTGTTTGCATAAATCGTTCATTGTCAATTGTATTATTCATACTTGTTAAGTATGTCCCAGGCATCATAAGAGTTTGTAGCAGTTTTTTGTTCTTGAGCTTAAAGCATTGTATTATGCTCTAAATATAGTGTCTTTACTGTAAGCAGATTGTTCTCTGTTGTCTATTTCTTTGGATTTCTATTCCTAGAAGCTAGTGTATTTTGTTTCTGTCTGTAAATGTAACATATTGTTTTAACACTTCTTTGAATGCATTCACTATAGTAATGTTTTCACCAATAATAGTGATATTGTTGACATGCATGAATGTTATTAATATTGTTTTGTTATGCCTTTTCTTATAGAATACAGTATTGTCATAGTTTGCTTGTTGCAATCCTATTTTGTGCAGTATATCTGTAATTTTCTTATACCATCATTGTCCTACTTGTTTTAGTCCATATAGTGCTTTATTTAATTTTAGCACTTGACCAGGTTTGATATTGTTTAGTAATTTGCCTGGTAGAGGTCTCACATAGATATGTTTGTCTTTGTTTAATTCTCTGTAAAGATATACAGATTTTACATCTATTTGATGTATTTCATAGTCTTTAGACACTGCCCAGCTTAATAATAATTGTACTGTAGTTAATTTTGTAACTGGAGCAAATAGGTTGTCTGAATAGAAGTCTATTCCATCCTTTTGAGCATAACCCTGTACTACTAGTTGTGCTTTGTATTTGTCTATATTGCTGTTAGCTAGTTGTTTTAATTTGTAGACAAATCTTGTTCCAATTATATTTGTGTCTGTTGGTGGGTATGTGTATTCCTATGTATTGTGTAATTGTAATGCTATTATTTCTTTGTTCATAGCTTTGATCCATTGTGCTTTATTGTTATTTGTTATAGTGTTGTAATATGTCTTTCAATTAGCTAAATTGACCATATCTTGGTCAAGCAAACAGCAAAACCTGGTACTACTATCTGTTTACAAAGCAGAGTTGCAAGCACTAGCATATGCTACTCAAGAAGCCATTTGGCTCAAACAATTTGCTGAAGAAGTACTGCAGACTGAATCAGTACCCATTACAATTTATTGCAATAATCAAGGTGTAATAAAGACTGTAAAGTCTGACAAAATAACATACAATGCTTACACTAAACATCTTGATTTACAAAAAGACTTTGTACAATGTTACATTCAAAACAAATACATTGATGTATGCTATGTTCAATCACAGAACCAATTAGCAGACATCCTTACAAAGGCTCTCCACATCCTGCAGATCAAGCATCTAAACAAACTATTAGACATACAGTCTTAGTTCTTAATTAATGCTTGAAGGGGAGTATTAGATTGTGCTCTGGATTAGGAAATCCCTAATTGCCTTATGTAGAATTACTGCTCTTGGAATGTCTCGGATTATTGGACTTCACTATGTAGTATATAAGGTAGATACTTGCTTGATGTCTCAATAAGAGAGAGTACTTGGGGCACTCCTGCTACACTTGTTAAAAAATAATAATAACAATAATAACAGAACAAACAGAACAAATAATAATGATAACAATAACAAGTTACAATGATCAACTCATGAACAACAAGTAACAAAACATGCTAAAGGATTAAACTACAATGATGAAATAAATCTAGCAATATATCTAACAGAATTTAACAAACTACTTAACAAAGTATATAATGATCCATTAATGTAACTGTTTATTACTTTATGTCCTTCCATCATTTGTCTGTCTGCATCACAATAGCCTTGTAGTTTTAAGGTGTTTGTGCTTCCAAGTTGAAGCCAACAATTTGTTGTATATTTTAAATACACAAAGCAATGCTTCACTACTTTGTAGTGATGTGTTTAGGGCTTTTGTAAGTAGTGTGCTAATTGCCCAGTAATATAGGATATGTCTGGCTGTGTGCAGTCTGCAACATATCTTAATGATCCTACCATATTCATGTATGGTGTTGTTTCATTATTACTTTCGTTTGTATTGTACATATTGTTTGTATTGTTAGATAGATCTATTCCAGGAGTAATAGGCGTTTGTAGTGCCTTTTTGTTTTCAAAGTGGTAATGCTTGATTATACTTTCAATATAATGCTTTTGCCATAAGCTAATTGTTCGTTGAGGTCTATCTTAGCTTATTTCAATACCAAGTAACCAATGTATTTTGTTACTGTCAGTAAATACAATGTGTTGTCTTAATGCATATTTAAATACTGTTATTATAGCAATAGTTTCACCAATAATTGTAATATTGTTGACATGCATAAATGTTACAAGAATTGTTTTATTATTTTGTTTCTTGTAAAATACAGTATGATTGTAATTAGCTTGTTCTAATCTGATCTTAAGCAGTAGTTTGGTAATCTTCTTGTACCATTGTCTACCTGCTTGTTTCAATCTGTATAATGCTTTATTTAAGTGTAACACCTGTCCAGGTTTAATATCTGTAAGTAGCCTGCCTAGCAGTGGTTTCACATAAATGAGTTTGTCCTCATTTAATTCTCTGTAAAGATATGCAGATTTTACATCTATCTAATGTATTTCATAGTTCTTAGATGCTGCCCAAGATAACAATAATTGTACTGTTGATAGTTTTGTTACTGGGGCAAATAAGTTGTCAGAATAGAAGTCTTTTCCATTCTTTTGAGTGTATCCTTACACTACAAATTGTGCTTTGTATTTGTCTATTTGGCTGTTAGCCAATCTTTTGATTTTATAGACAAATTTCGTTCCAATTACATTTGTATTCATAGGGGGGATAGCATATATCTATGTGTTTCATTGTTGAAGTGACTGTATTTCATCCTTCATAGCTTTGATCCATTGTTCTTTGTCTATACGTGTTATAGCATCATAATACATTAATGGATCATTATAGACTTTGTTGAGGAATTTGTTAAATTCTGTTAGATACATAGCTAGGTTTATATTGTCTTTATAATTTAAACCTATAGTTTGTTTAACCAGTCTTTACTCTTGTGTAGAGCATTGTATGACAGGTTCTTTATCTTTATTATTGTTATTAGGAAGAGTTTCATCATTGTTTGATGTATCATCATTATGATTATTCTCCTCTTCAATCCTAGACATTGGTTTGTCTATGAATTGTACATTGTGTTTGACAGTAATTTTATTATCATGGCACACTAAGTGACCTTTACTGTTGTTATCATAACCTAACTATTGTGTGTGTTAGCCTTTAGGTTGTAGTTTATGCATTCGTTCGTTTTGTATGATACAATATGTGCCAAATTCTCATATATTATCTATTTGATAATGTTTGTTATACTGTTTGTAATATGGTGTTGCAAAATTAATAGCAACTCTCAGTGTTCTGTTATGAATAAACGTTTGATATTGTACTACATATACTCAGAATTTCATAAGTAACTTTGCAGATAACAGACACGTACGTATGCTGTTAAAGATAGTCTTATGCATATGTTCCACAACTCCATTCTGCTACAGTGTATTGTGTACTGTTAATCTACATATTGTTCCTTGACTTTCAATGTATGTAGTGAAGTCTTTACTTAGGAACACTGTATTGTTATCACTTTGGAGAGTTTTAACTCTTATACTGTACTGTATAAAGAGTCTTGTTGTATGCTTTACATATTCAGTGAAAGCATTGCTTTTATGCTGCATAGGTAGCATAGTTACCCATTGTGTAGTATCATCTACAATAGTAAAAAGATATTCATACTTGCTGTAAGCTTGTACTGGGGCAGGTCCCTATATATCAATATAGAGATGATTTCTATAGGATTGTGTAAGAGGTGTTGTTTGTATTTTTGGTATTTCATTGCATTGTATGTTTGCTTTGATACAATCTGTACACTGTGCATTTTTATTGTCTGTTATTCTTTGACTTATAATCTTAGGATACTCTTGTATGAGTTTGTACAAGTAATTGAAATTAACATGACCCATTCATTAATGTAAATCAACAATAGTGATTGTGTTAATAGATTGTTTATTATGATGAGAAACTATCATATACAAGTTATTTTGTACATGTATTTCACCAATCTTTGTATGAGTAGGAGAATAAATAATACATTCATTGTTTGTTTTTGTTAAAACATATCCTACTTTGTATAATAGCACTTCACTAACGAGTGTGAAGTTCAGATTAGGATGATAGTATATGTTTTGTAGTGAAATTGTATTCACCTTTGTATGCTCATCAGCTTTGTCTTATAGTTTTACATTAAATGTCATTACTCTACTTTTGCTAAGTGTGAATGACAATTTATTCGCAATTGTAATGTTTATTAGGGTTGAGTTCTGAACGTTTGTAAGACAGAACAAGTATGGAGTAGTGTGTACATTTGCACCAGAGTCCAATATATCAATACAATGTATTAGTTTGGTATCATTGTAATGTATTGTATTGATACATACGTTTGGATTGTAATTGAACTCCTTAATGACTTCTTTCATATTGTCAAATGAGTTCATGAAGTTGTCTACTTGCATGACACTATCCTCTTGTACTTTGAATGCTGAAAATATGTTGGATTCAGTGGATAGAGTGGATTGAACAGGTAAGCTGCTGGAACTTGATACTGAGGCTTCTGCTATTACAGACTCTAGCATTAGTGTTTCATTAACATCTTTAATGAATACTGTTTTGTTATTGTCTCTAATGAATACTACTGTATTAAGTGCAGGTTGAGACAGTGTAGTAGCAGTAGTAGAAGTAGTAGCTGTTTGTCTATGCTTTTTCTTTTGAGCTTCTGTTGTTTTGCTTGTTGGAGGATTTTGGCAGTCTTTTGACATATGCCCATACTTATTACAGTTGTAGCATTTAACTTTATTGTAAGGCTTTGTTTTGCCTTTAGCTATGCTTTTGCCTTTCGTTTGTAGGCTGTCTCATTCAGTATCTTGTTTCGTTTGAGAGTACTGAGAATGATACTCAGTATATGTGTTTTGTAATTTGTGTATCAACTTAGCTGGTGTCAGAATGTCTTTCTAAGCTGCTGTAACTGTTGGTAGTTGATTATAATGGGTAATCTGCCTGTCTAGCATTGTTGCTACCCATCTATACTCATGAGGAGTAGCAAGGTTAATTGCTGAGATGTATGTATTGTTATTGGGGGCTTTATTATGTGCAGACAACTGCCTGTAGATTTGTTCAATGTTGTCTAACGTCTTATCAAACTGTGATACATGCTCTTTTACTGTAAACAACATAGATATGTCTACAGCATGTGTCATTGTTGTTTGAACATTGTATTGTTCAGAAAGTGCCTTCATGAGACTTCTAACACTTGTATGTGTTGTGAAGTTTGCATAAATTGTATCAGTTATTGTTTTTGTTATACAATGATACAAAACATTGCCTGTACATATGCTAGCATCATTAGAGGAAGGGGGATTGTGCTCTAGATGGTCTAAGAGCATCATGGCAGCAAGTGTACTGTGTATGTGCAAGCACCATATCTTGTATCCCTTCACACTAGCCAACTTTTCTGTTCCCTCAAAGAACTTTGTAATGTCAGAGTCCTTCATTATAGCATTAACAAAGGTATGCATCATAGACAACATTGTAATGGGTTTGGGGGGAGAGGGAGGTCTTGGGCTTGGTGGTCTAGCAGGAGGCAAAGGCATTCTGTGAGAGTGAGTGTGTAGAGGCATTTAATGGGCACCAAGGCTCATAACCTTTTAACAAGTGTAGCAGGAGTGCCCCAAGTACTCTCTCTTATTGAGACATCAAGCAAGTATCTACCTTATATACTACATAGTGAAGTCTGATAATCTGAGACATTCCAAGAGCAGTAATTCTACATAAGGCAATTGGGGATTTCCTAATCCAGAGCACAATCTAATATTATTATTTGTTCTGTTTGTTCTGTTTGTATTATTATTACTGTTGTTTGTTCTGTTATTCATTCTGTTAGTTCTGTTCGTTCCATTATTATTATTGTTATTATTATTATTCTCCCCTTCAATTCTAGATGATTGTACATCTGTGAATTGCAGGTTTTGTTCAACTGTTATTTTATTATTGTGCCATGTTATATGGCCTTTACTTTTGTTATTGTTGCCTAACCATTGTGTGTATTTACCTCTAGGCTCTAGTTTGTGTGTATTTTCGTTCTGTATGACACAATATGCTCTGAATTCTTGTATGTTATTAATAGCATATTGTTTGTTAAACCATTTGTAATATAGTATTGCAAAATTTATTGTAGTACATAGTGTTTGATTATGAATAAACATTTAGTATTGTGTAGCATATACCCATAATTTTGCAGGTAATTTAGACATTAATAGACACGTTTGTACTCTGTTAAATATTGTTTTGTGCATATGTTCTGCAACTCTGTTTTGTTGTAGGGTATCATGTACTGTTAATCATTGTATAGTTCCTTGACTTTCTATGTACACTGTAAAGTCATTACTTAGGAAGACAGTATTGTTATCACTTTGTAGTGTTTTTACTTTTATACTGTATTGTGTAAATAATTTTGTAGTGTATTTAATGTATTCAGTAAATGTATCACTTTTATGATGCATGAGTATCATATCTGCCCATCATGTAGCATCATCAACAATTGTAAGTATGTATTTGTATTTGCTGTATGCTTGTATAGGTGCTGGACCCTATATATTAATATGTAGACATTCTCTGTATGTTTTAGAAATTACAGACGTTTGTATTTTAGGTATATTGTTATGTTGTATGTTTGCATGCATACAATCATTGTATCATATGTTCTTATTGTCTGTTACTTTTCATTGTATTATTTCAGAATGATTTTGTATGAGTTTGTGTAAATACTCAAAGTTAATATGACCCATTTGTTTGTGTAAGTCAATTATAGTTATTGTGTTAACATTCTGTTAGTAATGATGATGTGATACTATCATATATAACTTATTGTGTACTTGTATTTCTCCAATCTTTTTATTTGCAGGTGAATAGATAGTACACATATTGTTTGTTTTTACTAATTTGTGTCCTGCTTTACATAGTAATACTTTACTGATTAATGTAAAGTTTAGATTGGGATGATAGTATATGTTATGTAGCATAATACTGCTTACATTCGTTTTGTTTGTTCTGTGTTTGTTGTTTGTATCTCATTGTATTCTAATTATCATTGCTCCACTTTGTCTGAGTGTGATTATTGTTTTGTTTGCAATTGTAACGTTTATAGGGTTTGTATATCATACGTTTGTTAATCGAAATAGATAGGGTGTAGCATGGATATTAGCACCTGAATTGAGTATGTTAATGTAATGCATAAGTTTTGTCATTCTGTAAGAACATGTATTAATGCATATGTTTGGGTTATATTCCCTGAGGAATTCGTCAAGCATGAATTCCCCTTGTATTTCTTACATTTGTTTGTTGTTTATAGTGTCTAGTGTTAGTATTTTGTTTACTTTGTCAATAAACACTGCTGAGTCTGTAAGCATAGCACTCATTGTTTGAGCTGTAATTTGTTGTAATATAGATACATTCATCATTGTTATTGTTTGCTTTTTTCGTGCTTCCTTTGTAGTGTCTGTTACTAGACTGTAGCACTCTTTGGACATATGTTCATATTTGTTACAATTGTAACATTTTGTTGTCTTGTAAGACTTTGTATTGCCTCTACTGTGTCCTCATCCTCTTGTTTGACCTTGTGTAGGCCCTAAGGATAGAGGGTGATTATTTGTTATTTTATTATTATTATTTAGTGTACTATGTTTATTCTGGTGGTTCTGTGTTTGCTACTCAGTAAATGTGTTGTGTAATTCATGAATTAATTTTGCCAGTGTGAACACCTGATGTTGAGCTATAGTAACTGTAGGTAGACTATTATAATGTGCATTCTGCCTATTGATCATTGTTACAACCCACTTGTACTCTCTTAGAGTAGCAAGATTTATTGCTGAGATGTAAGTATTATCATCTGGTGCTTTACTGTGAGCTACCAGTTGTGTATAGACTTGTTCTATTTGGTCTAGCATCTTGTCAAACTGCAAAACGTGTCCTCTAGCTGTGAACAGCACTAATATATTGACTGTGTGAGTCAACATGGTTTGTGTATTGTATTGATCAGCTAGTGCCTACATAAGGTCTTTTGTTGTTTTGTGTATTATAATGTTAGCATACACTGTATCTGATATTGTCTTTGTTATGAAATGATACAATAGTTTCCCTGTGTGTGTACTGTCTGTATCTGTGCTAGGGGGATTGTTTGTAAGATAGTCATTGAGCAGTATTACTACTAGTACATTTGTAATGCATAGTTACCATATATTATAGTTCTTTATACCTATAAGCTTCTCTATGTCTTTAAAGAACATAGTAAGTTGATTGTTGTCAATCTTTGGAGACTCAAACGTTAATGTAGATTGTACTATTGTTAGAGGTGTTGTGTTTGTAGGTGGAGCACTAGTACTAGGAGGGGGGGTAGATGTCTGAGGTAGAGGTTGTATTTGTAGTGTTGTTTGTGTTAATAGTACTATTTACAAGCCACCAAGGCTTATAACCTGTTAAGACAGGGAGTTTAGAATAGTACTTAGATATATACACATATATACACACTCTTATATACTAGATACATTGTACTATACTAGTAAATAAGATGTAAAACACAGTATGTCAAATAGAGAGAGAGTGAGACAAGAGTAGAGTATATAGAATAAGTCTAAGAGTACAGGACTACCTAGAGTAGACAAGATCAAGACTACAGGACCAGTCTGATCTTGTACACCTATATATACTAAACTATACAAGAGTACTCAGGGAGTATGAGCTACTAAGAATAATAAGCTACAAAGAATGAAAGAAAGAAAGGTCAAAGATAAAGGTACAAAGAATGAAGGGATGGACAAAGGGTAAGAGACTATAGAATGAACAAAGAATGAAGGGGTGGTCAAAGGAATAGAATAATAAAGTAAGGAAGGATAGTAGTAAGAGTCAGTATATATATAGTCTATAAACAGTGCCTCTAAGGGACAGAAGTCCTGAGTTCTAGTACAGAAGAGTGTAGAACTCTCAGAACTGAAGGTATGAGAGTAGAGAATTGTAACATTACCCTCTCTCTAAAACCAATTGTCCTGATTAGTAAACATTGGACTTGGTTAGTAGCTTAGGTATAGGTTAGAACAGTAGGGCTTGGAAATCTATAAGGCTGAGTTTGTGTAGAGTACTAGGATGAAGCTGATAGAAATCTTGGATTGTCTTAAGAGTATGAGTAAGGTTCTTAGCAGGTTCTCAAGTGTGCTCCTCAACTAGGTACCCTTTCTAGTAAACAAGGAATTTGAGTTTTCTATACAGTAGCTTAGTATCTACTATGTACTCTACTTTGTATTCTAGTTCAGAGCTGATAAGTTCTAGTAGAGGCAGAGGGGGTCTTTGTTGTGAAGGGAAACTAGGATTGTAGTACTAAGACAACAGAACCTTATTAAACACTAGGTGTATGTGCTTCTATGTTACTAGAAGTTAGAGTTTGTAGGTAGAGACACTAACCTTCTTTTTAATAATAAAGGGTCTGAAGCACTTGTTGTCCAACTTCTTCATTAAGTAATCCAAGGTCAGATTAGTAGCTTCTAGCATAACCTTGTCACCAGGCTGGTAATCCTTGACTATAGACCTCTTCCAATCATAGTTCTACTTTATAACTTACACTACCTTCTCTAAAAGAGCTTGTGTGTCCTCCCTGGTTCTGTACATCTGTTCTACAAAGTCTGTTACAGATTCAGAACTACTGTTCCAGTTCAGAACTGTCCCCTAGTACAGATGTTTCTCATGATTAAGGAAGAATAGGGACTGTCCTGTTGTAAAGTGTTACTAGTTATTGTGTACAAATTCTGTCAGAGCTAACCATTCAGACTAATCTGATTACTAATGATTAATGAACATTCAGAGGTAGAGCTCAATCTCCTGATTGACTCACTCAGTTTGACTGTCAGTCTATAAGTAATATGTAGTAGAAGGGTTCTCTTGAATTCTGAGAAGTATATACAAGTCCTACATGAATTTTGACTTGAATTGTAGTCTACAATTGTGAATGAGCTTCTAAGAGAGTTTATACAACTAGAAGACATAATCCTAATAGATATACACTATACCTTTAAAAGTGAGTTCTGTTTAGGTTAGAACTGTATAGACTTACTTAGAGAATTAGTTGACAATTACACAAATAGTATTATAACTCTAAGACTCAGGTAGCTTACTGATCAGGTCTACTAAGACTTCTTTCTAAGAGTGATCCAGGATTTAATACAAATGTAGGAGAGTCTGAACCCTTGTCTAGTAGGCCTTAGTCTGTTAGCATGTATTATAACCAGTTATGTACTTTAGGATTTCCCTCTATATTCCTAGCCACTAGTAGTTCTGAGTAATAAGTTCCTGTGTTTTGTGTTAGCCTGAATGTCCTACAGTCAGATTGTCATAATAAGCTTGAACAATGTTCTCCTACAGCTTCTGATCCTTTAGAACATACAGTTAGCCTTCCTAGTAAACCTGTCTATTCTCATCCTCCTCCTAATCCCTAGCCTGCTTCTTTAGCTGCTTTACTACAACCTAGTCCTGTGTGTGTCTCAGAGCTTACTGTATACAGGTGACAAAGTCAACATTCTTGGATTCAAGTCAGATCTCTTAGATTGTCTCAGATACAAAACAGGAATTGTCTAAGAGAACAAGATTTTTGTTATCATTCTCCCCCCTTTTATGACCTACTTGTCTTAAGAGTAAATCAGCTTTTGTCATTTACATTCTGAGTTTGTAAGTCAGTACAAAGTCATAGTTCTACAGTTCTAACATCTAGCAGGCTTAGTAGTGGTTGAGCTTCTAAAGTGTCTAGAAGTACTAGAGATTAAGGTGATCACTCTAAATCTTAAACTTCTGTACAGTACTAAGGAGATATTAACACTACTCCTCTAAGGAACAGACAATTGTAAGGAGTTCCTTGTTATAGATAGGGTAGTTCTGTTCTGTTGTAGAGAGGGATTCTGATCAGAACACTATCAGACACTACCTTCTATTAATGAACTAGGACAGTACTACTCTATTCACAAAGTCAGAAGAGTTAGCTTTGACTCAGAACTTGTTCACAACTGTTAGAACTACTAATACAGGCTTACTAGTAATAGCCTACTTAAGGGACTCAAACACAGACTACTACTGATCATTCTATTACTAAGGAACATCTTTACTAGTAAGATTGTGAAGGGGCTAGGTAATAGTACTAAAGCCTTGAATAAAGTATTAGTAGTAGTTTACAAACCTAAGGAATGCTTGAACCTGTTTCAGGTTCTGAGATTGTAGCTAGTTCTAAACTGTAGTTACTTTTGCCAGATCCATACAGACCTCCCCTCCACTAATCATAAAGCCTAGATAATCTACTGACTCCTGTACAAAAGAGTACTTTACTTCTTAGAGGAACAGTTTATTATCTTAGAGCTGTTGTAGAACTGCTCAGATTAGTCAGTAATAGTACTTGACTGTCTGGGTGAAGATTAGAATGTTGTCTAGATACATACTAACATACTCTAAGTTAATCAGATCTGTAAGAATGTGATTCATAAATGACTAGAACATTGTGAGCAAGTTGGTTAGTCTGAAAAACATTATGATTAGTTTGTACAATCTACAATTAGTTTGGAACACAGTCTTCCACTCATCTCTGTCTTAGATTCAAATATTATTATATCTCTATCAAACATCCAACTTAGTAAAAACCCTGAATGTATGTGTCTTATTAATGAGCTCCTGAATCAGAGGGAGTAGATACTTGTTTTTAACAGTACTCTTATTAAGACAATAATAATTCTAGACTAGGTAGAGCTTCTTATCTTTCTTTTTAACAAAGAAGAAAGGGGAGGCTATAAGGGACTTTAAGGGTTGGATCTGACTGTTCTGAAGATTTTCCTAAAGGAACTTGTCAAGTACCTTCTACTTGTCTCTATTGAGTAGGTAGACCTTACAATCCTTAGATTAAAAACCCTCAGTTAATTCAATTATATAGTCCTAGGGACAGTGTTTAGGAAGCTGGTCAAATTCCTCTTTACTAAAGACTTTAGGGAACTCTTGGACAAAATCTGGCAGGCTGGGTCTATGTGTGTTCTAGAGTAGAGTTGTTCTAAGAAGGTTCTAGACTAGTTCTGTCTTAGACATTCTTCAGATTGACTCTGTTCTGTCTTGACTAGAATATGTGTTCACATTTACTCAGAACAGTAGTATAAGGTAGCTGTAAGACTTAGGACACTGATTGAACACAAGTGTCTACTCTAACTAGTTAATAGTAGGGTTGTAAGCCTTGAGCTATTTGAATCTAATAAAGATGTCTGTCTTTCTAAGGTTAGTAACTCTGAACTCAATACTTTCCTCATAATCCTGAATGGTTATTTATAGTTAGACAAACTTGGTAATCTGACTATTCCAGTTTAGGGTTCTGTCTACATTGTATACTAGGATTGGAAGTAGAATGTGTTAAGTAGGGAGGTGGTGTTCCTACACAAAAGCCTTATTAATGTACAAACCAGTGTATCTACTGTCTACCAGAGTTATTGTTTGGATCTGGGGGGATCCTGAGAAGGGAGCCAAGAGGACAGGAACCTGGAGCTAGTGTCTAGAACATTCTCTAATAAACTACTACTTGTTCTGAAGGGAACATACAGCTTGTACAGTCTTGTTGTCTAAGAGAGTAAGTATATACACTAACATTTCCTTATTAACCTCTCTCTTTCAACAAGGACAGACCTATGTTCTCAGTTGTAAACTCAGCTAAGACCATCCCTACTTAATACTATAGACAAACTACTAAGTAGTAAACAGGGCTAGGTAGTGTTCCAAATGTTCTAAGATCTTAGAACACAGAAGTGATAAGTCAGATAGTGTGGATTTAGACTCAGATAAAGTGTGAAGAGAAGAATCAAAAGAATCAGAAGAAATAAGAGAACTATCTACTTTTGTTTTCAGCTTTTTTCTTTCTAATAAATAATTTTGTTGATTTACTTTTTCTACTTTTCTTACTTTATTTACTTCTAATCCTACAGTGTCTATTGAATCAAAAGTGACTGTTAAAAAATCCAAGTCATAGCCCTTTAGTACTACATTCACTGTTAGGCCTCTACAAAATCCTAGAGTACATAGTCAGGATTCAAGAGTTCTAAGGTGACTTCTGGATTTGTAGAAAAGGCTTCTTACTACAAATCCTGCTTGTTACTCATTATTACTCTAATGACCTGACAAATATACTGTTACTTCTGTAGACAGTCCTTAATCTAGTACTCTAGCTTTCTGTAAGTAAAGTATACTCCTTACTTTCAGGCTTCTCTAATGTCTATTAGAACAGATTGATTACAAATAATAGGCAGATCAATCTGAGGGCTCAGAACTGTTAGAGCTGGATGTATGTGTAGGCATTCTGTACAGACTTAATACATCTGAGCTGTAGCTTGGTTGAAGGAAATGGTGTGTGTCTTCTACTCAGTGTAAGTAACTAGTTCTAGCATTATTCTAAGAATCTTATTAACCAGTTCTAGGTAGAGAGCTTTTTCAAGCATTCTAATAAGGACATTATTAAACCTAAGCACAAATCCTGCCTTCTAGGCCAGGATATTAAACTCCTGAAAGAAGGTATTAGTAGAATGTTTGCCCTGTTATAGAGACACAAGCTTGTTCTACACATTGTGCTTCTCATTTGAGTCAATAAAGGAAGTACAGAGTTGCCTTATGAATTCTGAATACAACTTATTGTTCTAAAGTCAGATCAGGCTTCCAATCTAATAGCCTTCAATCCAGTTCTGAGCCTAGGTGGCCATGTTGCCTTCCTTCATAAAGGAGAGGACAAATAGAACACAATTAAGGTCTGAGGATAGATCAGTCAAAGTAGTAGCTACATATAGTTTGACTTAGTGTTAGAAGTCCTCAAAGTGCTACCTATTAAAGTCTGAAGGACAAGCTACATACACTTTCTTTCTAGAATAGGTTGTAACTTCCAGAACAATTAGAACAGGTTCTGAAGAGGCTGAAAGCATGTAGTTAGTAAAGGCCTCTTAGATAGAGGTCTACACATATTGAGCTAGTTCTACTTGTAACTACTGATCTAGTAGGACAGCAGGGGTGGCAGTCAGTGTAGGAGGGTCCATGTTTACACTACAAAGGAATTGGCACTAAACTAAAAAGGGTAATGAATAGAAGAAGGGTGGTAAAAGTTTAAAAGGGTTTAGAAAGTTTAAAATTTAAAAATGTAAAAGGGTCAGAACAAAGAAAAGAGATCAACACAACAGTAAGTACTGATGCTCAAAACATAGGAGAGTTGTAGAGTAGTAATAGAGAGTCTTGATCTAATGTTAGTAACAGTATAGAGGGGACCTGAAGGCTCAGTAAGGGGACCTAGGCTACAACTATCCTACACAACAGAAATACAGAATGTGAGCACTAGAACATAGTTGGAACTCACAGAACAGGCAGAGAGAGAGAGTGAGACAAGAGTAGAGTATATAGAATGAGCCTAAGAGTACAGGACTATCTAGAGTAGACAAGATCAAGACTACAGGACTAGTCTGATCTTGTACACCTATATATACTAAACTACACAAGAGTACTCAGGGAGCATGAGCCACTAAGAATGATAAGCTACAAAGAATGAAAGAAAGGAAGGTCAAAGATAAAGGTACAAAGAATGAAGGGATAGACAAAGGGTAAGAGACTATAGAATGAACAAAGAATGAAGGAGTGGTTAAAGGAATAGAATGATAAAGTAAGGAAGGGTAGTAGTAAGAGTCAGCATGCATATAGTCTATAGACAGTGCCCCTAAGGGACAGAAGTCCTGAGTTCCAGTACAGAAGGGTGTAGAACTCTTGGAACTGAAGGTATGAGAGCAGAGAATTGTAACAGTATATATATTATAATAAAATTATAAAGATTTTACAGTTTCCTCCTTCAGAATGTTAAACCATTTACTAACAGTTGTTAGATTTAGGCTATTTACTTATTGTGTATTAAGATGAGAACTCTAGTAAGTTTTTAGCTTAGTATAATAATACTCTAGTAATCTCTGAACAAATGTAAGTCTTACAGGCTTGTAACTTGTACCATATCATGCCTTAAGGAGTTAATTAGCTGCCCTTTCAATATCATTATGACTGAATAGGCAGCTTTGATTAGAAGAGATCCAAATAAGTTCTGTAAGTGTCTGATTGTCCTCCTTCATTAAACAGCATTTTAAAGTATTAAACTCTAGGATAGACTTTATTCCAGCTACCCTATTCCTTAATGTTCCAACTGTAACCCCTTTAAACATACTAGCCACTCCTCTTAGTCCTAGACACTCTCTCTGAGACTTTTTTTGGTCCAACTGATAAGCCTCAACTATATTGGGAAAAAGTCAGATTCATAGTAATACATTGTGGACTTTGTAAAAGTAATATAAGTATTGTATATACATTGCAAATAACTGCAAGATCTTTATAATTTTATTACAATATATATACAATACTTACATTATACTTTACAAAGTCTATAATACATTATAAGCAATGTGGCTTTTTCCTAATGTGCTTGACTCATATTCCTCTCCCTTTCCTCCAATTCCTCCCTTTTTTTAGAGATTTAAACTTAGCATGCTTAACTATAGTGTACTAAGTAGAATAGAGAGTGAGCAAACAGAAAAAAAGAGTAAAAAAACACTAATTTATTAGCAAGGGTATGGCAAATGCTCTGACATGATTCTCACACAAAGGTTTGGCAAATTACATCATTGTGTCCATCATTTCTCTTTCTGTCACGCTTTCTTGACTTTTCTTAATGTTTACTTTTAATAAATTGTACAACTCAGTGTATTAAAATAAAAACTGCAGAACTGTATATTTTGGATACTAATAATCATATATGCAAAGTTTCAACTTGATTAGATTAATAGAAATATCACCAGAAAATTTGCAAAGTTTACTACAGGACAATTTTACTAAATTCTTTAACTGTCTGATTTTTCTTAATTTTATTTCTTGCTCAATTTCTCTCAAATTTTATATATACATTCGGGTCATATAGTAATACCTTGTATTAAATTTTCATAAAATAATATTAAGATTTGGGTAAGATATTACAGTCTGTTTAAAGGAACGGTTGTGTTTAAAGGAGCGGTTTTTGACTGTACACGACGAGTCACGCGTGTCGGCGAAAAAAGATCCTCTGGTCGCAACTTTAACGACCACAGACCAGCTTTGTCGTGTCCCTAAACCCTGTGCTTACTTCTTAGTCTCGTTATAGGGCTCAAGCGCCTTTCAACTGACTGACCTGGCGTGGTGTCTATCACTTCAAGCACTCCGTCGTTCATCTTCTAGATCTCTCGCTATCGATGATTCGCCGAGACTGGCATGATTTTGTGCTGCTGGCATTTCCAGGCCATTGGCCTGCTATGTTTTTCCAACCTGATGATAGTGGCGTCCTTTTCTCCAAGAGCCTCCGGCATAATGTAGTCGAGTAGTCATTGTGCCAATATGACAAGAGGACAAGAATAGAAACAAATTTAGTTAGCTTGATAAGCTGCGATGAGTCGCTGATGTCGTGGGCAGAAATTAGCGCTGCGGCGAGATACTTTCTGGCTCTTTACTCCCGCGACCTTAATTGCTCACCCTCCTCAGGCCTCCGTGATTCTACCCACTCTCCTAGTTCATTATATGACCTCCACAAAGAAGCTGCTAACACGTCGTCTCGGCGCACATGGCCCAGAAGTCAGCGCTATCGGACTTGGTACTATGGGTATGACTTACCGTTCAACAAAAGATAAGATACTAATCGAGGCCCTGGTGATAGGCATCGGTGCATTTTATGGCAAGACTGATGAAGCGGCTGCATATAGGGCACTAACGTATTCTGCTGATCGTGGCATGACATTCTGGGACTGTGCGGATGTTTATGGGACGAGTACGTACACGACTATAGGGCAGCTCGTTTACGCTACTTGTTGAGTCTTGCTATTGTTCAGCCGAGCTTACCCTTGGGAAATGGTTTGCTGAAACTGGACGTCGGTCGGAAATATTCCTCGCAACCAAGTTTGGCAGTCGTGACCCGGAAGGCAAATTCGGAGGCGGCAAGCCCATCTCAGCACCGTCTTATATTAAATATGCACTTGAGCGCTCTCTTAAACGCCTTGGGACGGACTATATCGACCTATACTACCAACATCGCGTCGATCCCAAGGTTCCGATTGAAGTTGTGCTCGAAACCCTCCGTGAGCCGCTTGAGAAAGGGACTATTCGCTGGATTGGGTTGAGTGAATGCAGTGTCGAGACGTTGCGACGTGCAAAAGCTGTCAAGGGTGTTGGAGAGAAAGTCGTTGCAGCGCAAATGGAATTCAGTCCTTTCACCCTTGACATTGAGAAGAACGGCTTCGCAGAAGCTGCACAGAAGCTTGGCGTCGCTATCGTCGCATACAGCCCGCTTGGTCGCGGAATGATATCTGGAAAGTGAGTACTGAGTGCCGAATTCGGCACATTTTGCATAGCTTTTGGTAAAACATCCATCAGGTACCGCTCCCGCGCAGACTTTGAAGAGGGTGATTTCCGACTTGGTTTACCTCGCTTCTCCGAAGAGAACTTCCCGAAGAATCTTGCACTAGCTGATAAGATACAGGCAATTGCAGACAAGTATAAATCAACACCAAGTCAGGTTACACTTGCCTGGATCCTTGCAACGTCTAATAACTGTGAGTTCAAACTGGGAATTCATATTGTACGCATGCCAGTTCTGATAAGACACTTAGATATCCCTATCCCGGGCTGTCGATCGGTCGAACGTGTCGAAGAGAACTCCGGTGGTGCTGAGGTACAGCTTGGGTCGGAAGACATCAGTGCGATTCGTGCACTTAGCGAAGCTGCAGACATCCAGGGCGAGCGTTACGCGCCGATCTTTATGACCTATGTTGAAGGAAACTGTATTCCACTGGCTGAGTGGAAAGGCGAATAAACCTCTGCTGGATAGTTGAAGGCTCAAGGGTTCAGAAATGATCCAATATGGGTTACCTAGCCAGAAATGATACAGTGATCAGATCAAATGAATATGCTGTGCTTGATGATGACTGTCGTGCTACAAACCCGCCGACCTCTCGCGGCTGTCATACCCTATCTCATAAGATTATAGACTATTAGTTGACGAAACGCTAGTTCAAGCCTGCTGGGGGGGGGGGGGCAGGGGCAGATACAGTATTCTTTGAAGGCAAGTTAATGCCAATTAGTCACTAATGCTTTCTGTAAGGATTTGATTTACTGGTTTGTATTTTATTACTACTACATTGCTGATTGTGTTAGATCATTACACAGTAGGACCCACAAGCACATATATTCTCATTGTAGTTAGTTACACTTCCTCCTCATGTATTTACATGTGTACCACCCTATAAAAGACAGTATCAATTGCTGGGTAAAGGGGATTCTTTTCCTCTGACCCTTTACTTAAGTACTAGGTTATCCCAGTCAGTAGTTAAGTGAACTAAGAGTAATTAGAATTCTCTTATGAGGAACAGTGAGTTTCCTTACATATTTTTGACTGTACCCACCTAGCACCAAAACCCCTTGCTAGACACTGAGGAACTGAAGAGTCTGATCAACCCTAGGTCTCTGTTGTTGTCTAGTACCCCTCAGGAATT